AAGATGTGTCTAGAGGCGCTGGGGTCTCGGGCTGGCCGGGGTGCGGCAGGATGACCCGCCGGTGCGGCGAGTCGAGTGTTCCAAGTCAACGGTTTGCAATTGAATGCGGCTTGGATTTGATTGCTGCGAATGGAAGTTGCAAACGGCGTCAGCCCCAATGCGCCACTTCAATGTCACTGTGATTTGAAGGATGATGGGCGATCAATCGACCATGTTCATGCTGAGCGCGCGATGGGCTCAGCTGACTCGGTGACAGAAGGGCGACAACATGAGCCAAGAGACAGTCGAATCAACAAACGGCAACCGATTCTCGGCCCGATGGCGTTGGTCGTATTGCTCGGGATGTTTGCTTCGTACTCATGAGCGACGTCACACGGCAGCATCGCAAAGTGACCTTGCGTTCATCGTAACCTCTTGTCATGGATACGTCTTCTTGTCAGCTCCATTCTGGCACGAGCCTGAAGTGCAACGGCGCGAGCACTGGTGACTAGATTGCGGGTGTTGGTCGACATCCAGGGGCAGCCCAGCAAGCCACGAGAGCCTCTAAAACTAGGGCGCCGCCGCTAGAGAGGGCTCAAAGACACACATGGCGTTTAAAATGTCCGTGACAGCCGACAGAATGTTACGCTTGTTGGTTCCTCTCCTTTGTCTCGCAACAGCTCGGATCGAAGACTGTAACGGCGCCGTTTGTGGCCTTCGAGAAAGTGAAATGTTGTGTTGTGCTGTGTTGCCAGAGGGAGAACTCTCCGCGTTCGAGGCGTTCGGGAACCTTTGCCGACGCGTGTCCCAACGGCTCGAACCCCCCTGGCATGCAATCAACGCCAGACCGAATGAGAAGATCTTGATCGTCTGCTGAAAAAGAAAAAAAACTTCCGAAACTAGGGGCACCGACGGGATGGATGCAGTTGATCCTGATGGATGGATTCGTCGATAAGACGCCCAAAGCGGCAATGATGAAGGGGAGTGGCGGGCACGTCGCAGGTGAAGCAATTTTGGCTGGTCAGACATTTCCTCAAGCCACACACGATGACCCCTCCATCTCTTGATTAGTAAGTCATTTCCGGTGTAAGATGCAGGTCCACTTGGCGTTTGAGATTTCTGTTTCTGTTGTTCATTCATGTTGAAATGTTTCCCATCTTCGAATCTTACAGATGCCAAGAGACCATTTCTTCAAGTTGTTCTTCGTAAGGATCACCGATAGCGGACTGCATCCTTCTCGTCGCAATGATTGTCTCCAATGGTATCATAGTGGGGCGCGCGGGGAACGCAAAGATAAATACCAGATGAAAGTAGAATGATGACTTTATGAACAACGGACAACGTCGATTCGCATATTCTTCCGACTTTGGTCGAGAGCTAAGTCCAACAGTCTCCAAATCAGACATCTCAGAATGGCCTCCTCAAAGCAGAACCCGCCCCTCCTTGATCATATCGTCATCCTCTTACCCCACCAAGTCCTCGCCAACCTGCCACCCTGGCTCTCGGACGAATTCACCATCCTGACCGGCGGCCGCCATGCCGATGGCCGCACTGAGAACAAGCTCGTAATCTTCGCTGACGGAACCTACTTGGAGCTCATCTCCTTCGTCGCGGGTATCAGCCCGGAAGAACGGCTCAAGCACAAGTGGGGCGCGAAGAAGGATGGAACCATCATCGACTGGGCCTACTCTCTCGTCGACGAGTCTGGCTTCTCCGCGATCCAAGAGCGAGTGCATGCCGCGCAACCCCTGGCGACGTACGACGACCCCGTCCCGGGCGGCCGAATTAGACCGGACGGCGAGGAGCTGAAGTGGGCCGTTGCGCTGCCCGGGCCGGAGGGAAAAGTGGAGCGGGGCGAGCTGCCGTTCTGGTGCTTCGACCGGACACCGCGCAAGTTGCGGGTGCCGGACCATGTTGAAAAGAATGTGACGCATCCCAGCCGCGCACTGGGCGTTCATTCGGTTGAGGTTGATGTCAGCAGTGAGGACTTCAAGAAGGCGTACGCTGGTATCATCGGACAGCCCGGTCAGGGAGAAAATGGCGGGAGGTGGGCATTTGACGTCCCGGTTCGCCAGTTTGAGGACCCCAGACGTATTCAAGTAACGGTTTCTGAAGGGAATTCACCTGTTGGTTCTATTCGGCTGGCTTTGTACACTGCTAAGGGCACGGAGAAACGCGAAATTCGTGGAGATCTCGGCGCTGGCGTCTCAGTGAAGATCGATCTGATCCCTGTCTCTGGTAGTGCTTGATTATTCTACAGAGGCACATGAAAAGTCAAATTCATAACCCGAATGACTATCAATACACTGTTCCATGATGTATACCGCATCAAACGACGCCCCTCTCGCTGGCCCCGTCACCGCAATTCAACAGGGATCAGTCTTTACAGTCCCTCCGACGACCACTCAATGCTGGGAATGACAAAATGTGTGATAAGTAATCGAGATTCAGAATGAATCATTGGCGTTTACCGCCCAGACAGCGCTCCAAGTCCGCTCACCTCCACCTTGTCATATGTTCTCACCAGGCTCGTGGTTCCCGGCCCGGATTCAACCCAATTTCCGTGAACCTGGCCCTTGGTCTTGAACGGCAGTTGAACCACCGCCACGGGTTTCTCAAAGCTTCGGGTATCCAACACAACCAACTCACTACCGTCCACGTCATGATGATGAACCATGCCAAGCATCCAGCCGTCACCTTCCGGCGCGTCATTCGACCGCGGGATGAAAATAGGCTCTTCCACGGTGCAGTTCGGCCCGGGGTCAAATAGGATCTCCTTGTCTTCGTGCTTTCCTGACTTACTCACGAGCATGTACCCGTTGAGCCCAACGGGTAGGATCGGCGGAGCGGAAGATGTCTTGTTTGACATGATGACTGGCAAAAAGATGTTGTTGTACGATTGCGTTTGGAACCGCTCGTCAATGCGTGCCATCTCGCCCGGTAGGTCAACGATTACCGTGGGGTCAGCGGTCTTGGTCTTCGTAGGCTGGCTCAAGTCGATAGACCACCGCACGTAATCAGCCTTCATGTCGCCAAACGGGTTTCCCTCCGTAGGCGCGTCGAACATGGGAAAGGGGCTGTACATCATTCTCGAAGACTCCATGGAGATCTTGACGCTGTTGGCACCTTCATCCCACTCTTCCCAGGCTCCAGCAGTGTGCAGAAGCATGGCGTGCTCCCAGTGATACACGCGATACTCGCCAGGGCTCCAGCCTGCCGGTAGTCGACTTGATGCGCGTCGCGGAACAACTACGAAGGTTGCAGGACGGTCTCTCTTGTACTGCCAATGGTGGCCTCCAGCCTTCATTTGGGTCTCGTCGGCATCGTACGGCCACAGTACTAAAATGATGAAGTTCTCCGTGATAGCGCAGTCGTGTATAAAAGCCAGCCAAGGCGACTTCACCCATTGCTCATCACGAACTTTGCCCTCTTTGTCGAGGGTGTAAATCACAATGTCGTCCGTGCAAAGTCCCTTGGCCTCGTATCCAAAGACCACCAACTCGTTGGTATACGGATCAAACTTTGGGTGCGCAGAAAATGTCAATCCTGGAGACTTGAACGGGTCGTAGCCCAGCGTTTCGAGAGTGTTGGGGTCGATCTCATACGGCAGCGCCGATTCCTTGAGGGCCAGAAGTTTGCCAGCCCAGAAGACAAGATTCGTATTGGCCGTTGAGTCGATGGCAGCCCGAACACATGGATGGTGAGAGAAGGGATTGCGGTAAAGACCGAAGAGTCGCTTCTTGGCATGCCTTTCTAGTCGGAGACGCTCGGTGTCGACGTATCGTATCTTCAAGTCAACACGACCATCTTGAATCCGGAACGCGCAGACGTTGCCGTCCCCCTCGATAGGTGGATTTTCTTCGGGAGGGGGGTAGAAAGGATCCACGAGGATACGATAGAAGGTGCCGCTGAGTTGGCTGGGTATCTTCCCAAAGACGGGGAGATCTTCGACCTCGCCCTCAAAACGTCCTTTGACGCCGTGATCTGATGGTCTCAAATGATGAGACCAAGCTGATTCGAGGCCAAAGACCTTGTTGGTACCGTTGGCACCGTTGGCACCATTAGCACCATTAGCACCATTGGCACCGTTGGCTTTCTGATGTTTTTGTTCCATGATAGAGAAAGTTGTCCAAACTTGACTTGGGGTAAAAAGATAGTTGCGATGATTTTGAGAGTTCGATGAGGCTTGATGAACCGGTGGGATGCTTCGAAAACAAGCTGGAGATGACACTGACAACCTCATCACCAGCTGGACAGCGCTTTTCTTTTATGCTTCATCTTACACCAAACATCTACATCACCACAACGGTCCAGTGAGACGCCGCGGATTTCTCATCAGCAGTCTCAAGAGCATCAAAAAACATCCGGATCCGAAGTTCATGTTTGTAACCAAGATTCAGTCCTCTCTGACCCGGCCTCGAGGTCAGCTAGCATAAGGCCGTGCGCAACTGCCGTGGTCAAATGCCGTTTCATTCCTAGTCGTGATCTCCAGGACACGGAAGCAATTGCACGAAGATTTGCCGTTCCGTCTCAACTTGAGAAAGTGTAGGTCGGCGACCTGCGGCCATGACTAGTGGGTAATGAACTACCTAGAGAAGTAGCACAACCCGTCCTTGGCGCCACTTCAGACGACTATTAATAAGCGGCCAGTCGATTGGACTGAACCTGGTTGGCATGCCTGACATCAGATCGTCTGACGATCCCGCTGAGCTAAGCGGCGAAACAGGGCAGTCCGCCCATGCGGCGGGTGTGGGGTTTTGAGGCTCACCGACGGTACCAAACAGACGACTTACAACCCGTGAGCTTGGCTTGTTATGACGACTTCAAGCAATGAAAATCAAAAGTTTCCGACGGGATTATGTGAACATATTCGGTTTCGGTTTCGGTATGTGGGCAAGCAATAGTATTGACATCTACGTGTAAATTGTCTGCGCCCATAATTACCTAGACTGTTGCCATGGACTTGAGTATGACACGAGCATACGAGTACCCAGCTCAGTCTACATCCCTCATTTGCAACCATGTCTTCGTTCTATGAAGTCATTGAGCCTGCGCCTGCAAGACTTTTAGAGTTTTTGGACATCGCAACCAGCATCGTTGGGCCGGAAAATGTCTCGAGAGACCCTTCTTGGGGAGCACCGAACGGGCTTTACGGCGCCGACAACTACGGCGATCCCTTTCCGCTGAGCAAGCCTCATCATGCAGCGGCAGCCGTGAGACCTGCCACCGTTGACCACATTCAGAAAATTGTCAAAGCAGCAAACGACACTCGAACGCCCCTCTGGACAGTTTCACGGGGAAAGAATCTTGGGTTGGTGTTGATGTCTCTTCTAAAGTCACCTGCTAACTTCCGAGGACTTCAGGTATGGCGGCTCAGCACCCGTTGTTTCGGGAACAGTCATTCTCGACTTACATCGAATGACCAACATCATCGAAATCAACGAGGAGTATGCGTACGCCATCGTGGAGCCGGGCGTCACCTTCATGCAACTTCACGCTGAAATCAGACGGCGGAACCTGAACCTGTGGATGTCCGTGCCAGCTTTGGGATGGGGCTCTGTCATTGGAAATGCTCTGGAGAGAGGTTTTGGCTACACCCAGGAAGCTGTGCACTACAAACAGCAGTCCGGCTTGGAAGTCGTCTTGCCCAATGGCGATCTTCTCAGAACTGGGATGGGGGCCATGGAGCATAACAAGACTTGGCCACTCTACTCGGGGTATTTAATTGCTTTTCCGTTTTCTTGATGGTTCCTCAGCTGATCGTCTTAGGGGTCTGGGGCCGGGTGTGGATGGTTTGTTCTTCCAGTCAAACTATGGTGAGTGCTTGTACCCTTGCCTCTCTTAAACTGTTGCTAACTTCACACAAGGGATCGTCACGAAGATGGGAATCCACCTTTCTCATGCTCCTGAAGCATATACTCGCATCCAAGTGGACTGCTTCAATGACGAAGATGTTGTCCCTCTTACGGGCGCGCTCACAGAGTTAATGCGACGGCGCGTCGTTACCAATCCGCCCCAGCTTTTCAACACCATGACCATCATCACCGGGATGATAGGCACTAGCAATGAGGTTACTGAAGCCCTTGGGCCGCATTCGTCTTTGAAGCACCGTATCCCGGCCGACATCGTCGCCGATATCACCAAACGCCTCAAACTCCCCGCCTGGCGCACCGCATTTGCCATATACGCGCCCCGTGAGGCGCATGCTGGTTTGATCGAGGCGATCAAGCGCCGCTTCGAGCTTGTAAACGGCTCGAAGCTCACAACAGAGACGTTCACCGCTCCATCAGGCGAGTTTCTGCGAGGCGAAGATGTAGCCCCAGACTTCCTCCCTCAGAACGGCGTTCCCAGCATTGATCATTTGAAGATGCTCGAGGGACATAACGGCGGTGACGGCCTCTGGCACAACTCTTACTCTCCCGTCATCCCACCGTCTGGCCGTGAGTTGTACGAGTGGTACCTCGGCGCGAAGAAGATCACCGAAGACAACGACCTCAACTTCGTGGCTGACTTCCATGTCTTTGACCGCTACGTCATCGCCATCAACCTTGTCTTGTTCCATCCTTTGGCTAAAACCCGATTGCATCCCCTTCAAATGGCGCTCATGGAGCATACGCGGAAGCTTGGGTATCTCGAGTACCGAGCGCATATCAGCTTCATGGACGTGACTGCCGCCCACCAAAACTTCAACGGAGGTGCATTTGGACGGTTCACGACATTGCTCAAGGATGCTATCGACCCGAACGGGATCTTATCGCCCGGAAAGCAAGGAGTCTGGAACACGGGTGCGGGTCCCAAGTTGTAAAGCACTTCTGCAAGCCACACTTGCACTGTTTCTGTGTTGTTCAATGATGGGTATTCATATTGATGGTAGACTCGTGATCAAATGCTAGCTGCTCGGTCTTGATTTACAACTGCGGGACTGTGCCCTCTAGTGTTGCGGTACACGGGTTCGTAGTTGTATGAGTGGTATAGTACCAGTCAGGATGAGGTAGATGAAGTAAATCATGAGCAGAACCCCGAGAACCCTGACGGTCTCTGACGTATCATGCCTCTTGCTTCTTTCCACGGCGGCATCCATTTTCTGCAATGTTTTAAGGTTCGAAGAATTGCATGAGCTGGGGCTCTCAAGGTGCGGGCAGCGGTGGCTTGTATCTAAAGATGCACCGCTGTGGTATTGCACTTTTCGGTGATTCAGTCAAAGTCCAGACCTGCCTGGTTGGAATGGTTTCTGCCCCAGTCCTTCCCCTTATAATCACGATGATCCTGAAGAAAGAAAATTATCTTTAATTTATTATTGGTCAAGAACAACCCCTCGAGGTGCATGCAAGCTTCTTCGCAACTATCTCCTCAACCAGCGTCAGTATACGGCATTTTTGCTCAAACACATCATACCCACCACCACCACCAGTATCATGACTGATAAAATATTCTCTACATATTAATACCAGAATCATTAGAATTACGCAACAAAGATGGCGACCAATAAGCAACGCAACAACCAAGCCAAGCCGAGATACCACGATAAAAGCACCATGACAGAGTCACCGTACCCTTATGTTCGGCTCAATGTGTGCAGGACAATCGCCATAGTAACTTGGACGATTTGGCTTCTCCACGCAATGTACGATCAATTTCGTGGATCCATAAGGGATTTTCTCTTCGTCCCCGCTGGAGTATGCAGCATCTTGTTTTTCATTCTTGGAACCCAATTACCTGGCGACATCGACACGGATAATCTCCTCACCCAGAGTCTGTGGGCTGGCACGTTTCACTTCGTGATTTTGACAATCATCGAGTGGCTCTCTGTTTGTTTCATTTGGGAGGATTTGCCTAAGTCATGGGCTCTTGGAACGAGGATTTGCTGGTTACTTGTTTGGATGTGGTCATGTTGCGTCGTCTGGGGCTGGACAGTTACGATAGGACCCCAAGACGAGGAGGACATCAAGGTGCCGCTTTCGGTGAAAGATTTTCTACCTCATGCAATTGCCAAGCTCGTTAGGAATAAGAAATAGATCATGGATGTTTCTTCAATGGAAGGCTTCGAGCGATCTACTTCACATACCGCCCGTAAGATGAACGCAACCTTTACCCCCGTTCCTTGTTTGACGAGACGTAAACAGAGAGGTTCGAGTTTCATGTATGTTGCTGAACAGGCAGCAACGATTTAGCTTTGGTTACTCTACGGTGTAACACAGACTGACCGAAAAGGGTCAATATTTTCATGCTCGTAGTAGCATATAAGAAGAAGAAGAAGAACCTCTGCTGCGGGTCTTGATTGCTCGATTTTTCGAGGCTGAAGCTCTCGAAAATTTTCCGAAGCTAACATGACCACCGACACCGAATCACAGAGAATTCCTCGCACTGAGATGTAACCGATTTACAGACATAAAGGCACGATAACCGAACTTCCAAGGCTGTTGCCAGCACAAATCTCAGTCCTTCGATTCGCCGGCATCATTGCCTGGATTCTTCAGGTTTTGTGGTGCCTATACGCGACACATTGGGTCGACACTTATATCAAACCTGTTATCTTCCGTGCTTTGGCATGCAGCGGCTACTTGGCAAGATCCTTCTCTCTTGTTTCCGACGCGTATTGCGGCCATCTACATCTGGGTTGTGATTACACTCTTGGTCTGGGGTGCCGTAGTTGCGATAGGCCCTCAAGACTCAACAGATCTCACGTTGCCATATTGGGTGAAGGAAATCCTTCCTTGTGGAATTGCGAAGCATATCAGAGTCAACGAAAGGCGCTGAAGGCTAATGACATTTCGGGTGAACCGATGATCCTCAAGGTTCATAGGCCGCTACCTATCAATATTTTTTACGGATTGGAAACGAGAAGCAGTGGCACCTTTCAGCTTGATTAGTAACATCTTCAGAGATGAACAAAGCATCGCACTTAGCCACAACTTGTGACAGTCTCATACTTGCCCCATACATGTAGAGATCACAGGGTAAACCTTGGCCCTCGGCCATACCGAGATCCAGTTACCCTGTGAGCTTCTCTCATATATTAACGTCTCCGTCTACATAAGATTATTCCCTCGCTCTTTCCAAATAAACTGCACTTCAATTGATTCAACCAAGACCACATAACCTCCCACGTCAACATGACCATTTCGAACGAACTCCCCGCGATTCGGCAACCGAGACCAAAGCAGTCCGCGGAACATGAGGTCATGATTTCCAAGCAACGCCAACCGCTTATGTCGCGCGACAAAGCCATGGTCTACCGATTCATGGGCATCACCGCCTGGATTCTTCAAACCTTTTACTGGCTGTACGATTTCTTCTTTGTTGATGCTATTGATGGAGATAGCTGGCATCCACTAGAACAGCTTTTTATCGGCACCATATTCTCAGTGATAGTCGCTCTCCATTTCAGAGATGCTCCTATAGCCACTCGGGCTAGATTGTGTGTACACGCTACCTTATTTTATTTCGCCTTCAATGTAACCGGCGGATGTCTTTGGGCCATGTCTTTGCTGTGTGCAAAAGCCAGGGAGTCTAGGGACTCCATCATGGTATGGCTCGTCAGTGTATACTGGTGGTTCATCATCACCGCCATCATCTGGGGCTTCCTCGTTTCGATAGGGCCCCAGGACGAGTCCGACATCAGGCTGCCATATTGGTTCAAGGAATTCCTCCCGTATGCCCTGGCGAAGCATATCATAGAGCGAGATTCCAGTAAAGAGCGTTCGTGCATCGACAAGAAGGAGCAGTGATGGTCCTGGCTGGTTTCACGGTACTCTCATGGGTGGGTGATGGATGGAAATTCTACGCCATCCAACCGTGTTTTCAAAAGCATTGTCACCATCACTCTCATCGCGTGTTGACGCTCATTTCGACAATGATCTCTCTCAATACCTCACGCACTGTGTTTGACACTCAGCAAATCTGTCGGTTTCCAGACGAAGAGCCGCAGGTGGATTCAACAGTGGAACGGATGGGGGTGGAACGTCTCCAACCGTGGTGTGGACATCGTGGAGTAAAAATGGAATCGACCGATGACCTAGCAATAGACCAAGAATACGCTAGTTATTCATGGCATCATTCATACATCATGGCGCAAACCGCCTGCAATCCCTCACTCTACCAATGCTGTGATGATGCCCAACTAAGACATTGATGCATGACTGCCTGCCAGTCACATTCGATATACCCATCAAGGTCGCGGATCGTGCGCCCAATACACCGCTTCGCTTCCTCATGCCAACAGCTTGCGACCTTCCCCATGGGCATGTCGCGCTTGCAGTGTCACATAAGTATTCACGGGCTGAGATTAAATCCAATTTTACTTTTTTTCTATTATCCAACAAGTCATTACATCATATCCAGAGCCCTTTCATACCCTGTATCCATGTCCTGTTGCTCCTAAATTCCAACGCTTCGCTAAAAGAGAACGAGCATCTATCGGCAGCAGTAACCGCCGTCGATGACGATGTCAGCGCCGGTGGTGTAGGTGCTGGCGTCGGAGACAAGATAGACGTAGGCGCCCTTGAGCTCCTTGGCGTCACCGTTGCGGCCCATGGGGATCATGCTCTTCCACAGCTCCTGAGTCTCCTGGGCAACGAAGTCGGACAGGCCGGTGTCAATATAGCCGGGGGAGATGGAGTTGACACGGGCAAAGTCGCGCCACTCGTTGGCGAGCGAGCGGGCCATGTGGATGCAGCCTGCCTTTGCGACGTTGTACGAGGTCTGCTCCTGGGGGTAGTTGGCGATGTGGCCGGACATGGAGGCGGTGATGACGAAGGATCCCGTGCCGCGTTCGCGGAAGTGAGCGCCGACGGCCTTGGCGCAGTACGCAGTGCCGTTCAGGTCGATCTGGATAACGTGGTCCCAAGCCTCCTTGGAGCCGTCGATGACACCACTGTCGGCGGTAGCACCGGCGCTGTGAAAGCCCAACGTTAGCAACCGTCATCTCCTCGGAGTCTGTGTTCTGAGCGGAAGACTTACTTGGCGATGAAGGCATCGATCTTGCCAAAGTCAGAGAGGATCTGCTTGACGGTCTTGTCGACATCCTCGTAGTCGCTGACATTCAGCTTGTAGATGTTGACCTTGACGCCGTACTCCTTCTCGAGCTCGGCCTTGTTCTTCTCGGCTCCCTCCTTGCGGCTGGAGTAGGTGAGGGCCAGGTCGGCGCCCATCTCGGCGCAACCGCGGGCAGCCTCAATGCCCATGCCGCGGGGTCCGGAGGCGCCGGTGACGACGACGACCTTGCCCTTGAGGCTGAAGAGGTCCAGGAGACGGGAGGCGGTGGGAATTCCTTGAGGCATGGTGGCGGTTTGTTTGGTACTGGTTTGGAAAGGAAGATCTTGTCAATGTGGAAGAGAAGGTTCAGTGGGTATCAAAGTATGTTTGGATGAGGGAGAAAGAGAGGCAGAAAAAGAAAACAGATCGGCGCGAAAGATGGCTTTAGATAGAAAGCTCAAGGGCCTTGGAGGGGCATTGCGGTGGCATGATGGAGGGGTAGCTTTTGGGTTTCGTACCGGCCGTGACGGCATGCCAGAACCCCGCTGATGTCATTGATCAGGCACACGGACTTGACACCGGCGGAGCTAATTGATACGGGTCCTCACTCAGCAATTTGGTGGTTGAAGCCGACGTGGACAAGGGCAGACATCCTTGAGTGGGTGGATCTCGAGATTTTTTTCTGGAGACCCGGATGGGCCGCATGTAGAGGGCATGTACCTGAGTAATGCCCATCTGCAGTGCAACAACACCTGCGGCTTCGACAGCTCATCGATGATCGATCTGGGAGCTCTCTTACTGCTTGGTAATGCGGCTAAGAGCTGCGGGAGCGACTTGGCGGAAACCAGCCTGATTAGGGATGATTATCTGAGCGCTGCAAATTGGGCAATTGCAAGTCTTTGCTCAGCAGACTGAATGCCAACGCGACGGCTTATCTCAGTGTGTACATGATGAAGCTCTTTGTGGTACAACTCACGCTAAAACTGTCAACTCCAAGGTTGCGGCCAAGACTAGCTGAAGCTCCACCAAGTCCACTGCCAGCCCCCAGTCCTTGTGCTGCAACAGGAACATTAGTCAAGGCCTCGCATCATCGTTGCTTCACTGGCTGGACTCGGTCGGGGAACGAGGCCTGCCTCTGCGGGGCTATTCCTGCGTGTTTGCTGCGAATGCCGCATTCTTTGTGCTGTTGAGATAACGAGCGCGAAGAGGGGCCATCGATGTCGTGGACGTGTCAAATCAAAGTACCCTACTTGTACACCAAGCCCTGGGAGCTCCTGTTGGCTTGTCAACGCGGAGCTGTCGCGGAGCCATGTCGGTGAGGGGTTTAGCGTGGGGTGGAATGGGCCTTCGAACTGAACCACCATTTGGTCGAGACTCTCCCTCGCCTCAGCTAGGCGGTGTTCTGCGCACCATTGTGGATTTCCGAAGCTGTATTACCTGTACAGGTGATGCAGACGAAGACGGGGCCTCAACTCGCGTGTGATGTTGACGAAGATGGGGCTCTGGATCTGTACAGTTGGTGCAGTAGTCGCGGATCTGTACAGGTGATGCAGTAGCACTTGAATCTGTACAGGTGATGCAGATTGAGGCGACGCAGAGCTGTTTGAAGATGGTTCGTGCGATCCGCGGTCGGACTGCGGGATGGGATCCGGGGGACAGGCCTCGGCTCGCGCGGGCGGACAAGCGTCATTCTCCCCGTGTTGCACTCGGCCGTCGACATGATCTCGTATCAGGACCGGAATTACCATCGGTGCAAGATACTGTCACAAAAGTTGCTGAAAGTTTGCGAATTCCAAATGTCAGAGGACACGGAACAGCGAAATATTGCGATTAAGTAGTAGTCCATGATTCAAGTGAATGTTGGTCATTGATGCATGGCTGTTCTTGAAGCAGGTCATCTTCCGGGCTGTTGATGTCAATGTCACATCACGCCTTCGAGTTCACCAGATCAAGCTTTCCGCCACTGGCTGCCTTCACGATGCTCACGGCGTGCCATCCAGGTGGGTGGCGGGTGCAATATTCAATCTAGGAGCGCCTTTCACGGCGCGAGGAAAGCTTGTTCTGAAAGCAGTAGATGAGCTCTCGTGGCTACTTTCACGTGGTTTCGAAATGAAAATATAATCAATTGTACAGCCGTAATTCATAGAATTTTCCGTAGATTTTCGCAACAAGTCCGAATCCTCAGTTACGCAGTTCACATCTTGAAACCAACGGAATAGTACGGGCTTTCTCATCAACAAACGACTGAACAACGGCAAGATGTCCCAGATACCCGGACTTGGTTTCCGCGACCATCCTTTCTGCATGCCGAAGCGCGAAAGCCGCAGCAGTCGGATGTCACGTTCCATATCGCTACGCATAGACAAGCCTTCACCCCAACCAGCGTCAAAACGGGACGAAATTCCTAAGAAGAGTCTGATCGCCCTCCTGCCAAAGACGGGATATCTCCTCGTTGCAGTCTGTATTGCCGCCGCCGCCGTGAGCAGTCTCATCTTGAGCGGGATCCTTGACGCATCTCAGACGACGCGTTCGCTTGTCCTCTCTATCATCTGTTACTTGTCATCCAGTATTTTCATCATCTCCGTGGCTTTCTGTAACGGAATTCGACAGGCTCCTCAAAGTCCGGGGCTATTAACCTTTGTGTTCTTCTTCATCTGGGTTGTTATTCAAATCCTTTGTTTCTTCAACATGAAGATCCTATGGAGTCAGGATTGGCCTACTGATATCAAGAACTTGGCGGTGGCCTGGATGCTGCTGAGCCTGGCCTCCATAGCAATCTACATCTTTGCCCTCATCCGGATCATGGCTGTTTCGAGGAAGGACCTTCATTCGAAAAAGCTCGACTTGGAAGCAGCTAAGCCAGCGTCGCCGTGGGCGAAGGGGCCCTGGGATCATGCTGAGCTCGGCGAGCCGCAACCACCAGTTTACACTCCCCGAAGGGAAAATTTGAAGAAGCTTCATTCGGAGGCAGCTGCAGAACCAGCGTCGCCGTGGGAGGGAGAAGGCGTCCTGCGATCCACCAATTTACGTTCCACGATGGGAAGTTCGAAGAAGCTGTATTCGGAGGCAGCTGCAGAGCCAGAGTCGCCGTGGGAGAAAGCGTCCTGGGAGCATGTTGAATACGGCGAGCGGGAGTCGCAACCACCAGTTTCCATTCCGCGAAAGGAATTTTACCAATTGCGGGGTGTATCCTGTACTTGCACCACCCGTGGGCCGTGAATAACTAGGATGACTGCGAAGACTTGGGGAAGTAAAGAGAAAATGGTTGCCCGTGGCAGACATGAGATGCTAAGTACCACGGATTTGGGTTTGTAATTAGTTTCTCAAAAGTTAGGAGTGTCGGGGAAAGCTTGGATGGACTGTGTCTGCAGTTCAAATATCCATGTCTGCGGATCAGGCATGTAACTGCACTGGGTGGTCATAACGAGAAGACGTTTTGCTTCACATCCGGTTGTCAACTACTAGCATATGGGAATGTTCGTTGATTCGTGAAAGAGATGAATGCTAGAGGGGGAAATGTTATGAAGCTACGATATGCTTCTAGAATCTCCAAGCTACGTTGCCATGCTTCTACGGACCTCGACCTCCTCAGCCCCAGCCTTTTCGGCCAGATCAGCGTCCAATTCGCGAACGATGTTGACATCCCCAAAGATCTCGTCAATTTCCTCGAGGGACTTTCCTCTAGTTTCAGGGTAAAAGAGGGCGAACACGACAGCGCAGATTGCATTTGTCAGTATGAACAGAATCTGTTGATACGAATGAGCACCAGACGTGTTGCGTATAGAGGAGGCGACTTACGTAGTACTTCCAGCCAACCTCCGCGAGCGCAATTGGTGAACACTGCGTGATGACGAGACTGATGGAGTAGTGTATGACCTGGACTATGGCATTCGCTTTTGCACGCAACTCGGTTGTGAAGACTTCCGGGCTGTTCCATATGTTAGTAGTCTCATTGGACAGGGAAACTCCATTATGGCGCTTACGGTATGATCCAAGTCATGGGTCCCAAAAGGGCCGAGTAGTTTGCAGAAACAGCAAAGATGCAGGCAATAAGTCCGCGTTGAGCAGCTTCATTCGTAGGGAATCCAGGTCGTGCTGGGTACACTGCTGCCAAGATGGTGATAATCATGTAGCAAACAGATAATAGCGATGAGCTGAAGATGAGAATCTTCTTTCGTCCAATGCGATCGACAAAGAAGAGAGAGAGGAAACAGGCCACCGGAGCAACCGATCCGTACAAACCGCTGACAAGGAGTTGCTGGTCCTGGCTGAACTGCAGGGTGGCATATATAGCTGTCTGATAGTACTGGACGAATGAGATGCCCGACAACATTGCAGCTGCCCAGACGAACGATCCGACAAAGAGCCGTTTGCGGAACGCGGGGGTTTTGAAGAGGTCAACCCACGATAGACGCCCCTGAGTTTGCAGTTCTTCGGCGATGTTGACTTGAATGACGGTAAACTCGGTGCGGCACCAGTTGTCGTTGGAGCCGTTGTAGTGGTAGTTGCGGAATGCCTTTTCAGCTTCTTCGTTACGGCCTTTCAAGCACAGCCATCGCGGCGACTCGCTGAGGAAGAGAACGCCGACGCCTAGAATCAACGCTGGTATGCTTTGAATGGCGAAGCCGAGTCTCCACTGGTTGGAGTTGTGCCATTTTCCTTCGCCAACTTCGGTCCAGAGGGCGACGAAAAAGCCCCACGCAACCACTGCGAACAGTTAGAAATTGCAGTTGTTAGCTGCGGTGTTACCGACTCATCTGGTTGACGGCTGTGACTCTGGCTCTTTCTTCAGTCTGGAGTTGTGCCATCAGTGATGTGGGTTCTGACACAACTTGCACGAGTGGAGATACCTTTGCAATCTCAGCACCAAAGACAGGAGCCACACCCGTGATTGTGCCAACAGCATAGCCGACTAGAAGTCGTCCCATGATGACTGATAATGGGTTCAGCTAAGACAACTCAACACTCATAAGGCAGGCACAAACTCACGCATGCCAACATGAACAGCACCAGCCATCAAGGCACCGCCGATGACACCCCAAATACATCCAAAAGCGATGGCCCGCCGGCGACCGAGCCGATCACTAGTGATCCCAACCGAGGCGCTGCCCAGCCAAGCTGAATCACTCAGTTGGGCATCATGAGACTAGTTAAGAGATCTGAGATGGCCTTACCTCCGGCTTGGTATACCGATACAATAGCTCCTCTCAAGGGGGCGTCGGGACTTCCAAAGTAGGTCAAGAAGGACTTGAGCGCTAAGCTTGGCGTGATGATACCGGAATCACTGATCGTTGCTGGTTAGTAATCGAATTCCAAGATGTCCATGCTCACAACTCACTAGCCGTAGAGGAACCCCCCGATTCCCAGCAATATCGAAGTCAAAAAGGGCTTGCTAAGCCAAGGCGAAGAATCTGGAGTCATGGTACAACAACTCTTATTCAATGAAACGAATCACTCAAAGCAAAGTTTCAAAGTCTGGAGACAAAAGTCACACATATAATTCGACCTCTTAATCCTTTCATTCACCATGATACGCGACACCACCGATATTTAAAGCAGGGGTATACTTACCCGTCTCCAACCAGATCCTTTGTAAGTTTTGCGTCAGCAGGCCGACTATGTGGGGGACAACCCCAGGCTCAACGCACAGGTCCGCTTCCCCGCGCCATCCACCGTCCTCGCAGCGAGCAAACTGCGGGGTTCCGACCCTGTCGCCTCGCGATATCAAGCTAGCCTATTCACATTGCAACTTGGAAAGGATTTTAAATCCCCGTCAAGTGATCTTGGAAGACGCGATATCAGTGGGGGTGGCTTACTGCAACGTCTCGCCAAGATCGGCAGTTCATATGGGCAGACTAGGCGACGAGCCGAAGACGCAATAGATGCTCAGGAACCTCGGGCCCTCGGTATTTCAGTGCAACGCTGCCGGCTGCGCCCAAAGAGAAACATCTTGACGATCTGAGTCACAAGAAGTTCGCTGACAAGACTTTGTGAATCTTCTCATTCGCTAATCGATACCCCTGGGTGACCGACCGACGAACAAAATGATCACACACGTCCTGACATGGGCGGCGGCTCTGGCTTCCCTTACATACATCGCTCTCATATTTCCTAGGGTAAGTCTTTACATCCAATCATAGCCCCCTGATTACCACTCAGTAACCGCCCTCACAGCTTCAACAAGAGTGGAAGCTATATTCACATCGCTCTCAACTCCCGCCCGGACCAAAGGTCATCAAGACCGGCATCCGCAAGCCATGGCTCTGGTTCCAAGAACTAAGCAAGCAATATGGCGATGTTGTCTACCTCCAACTCGGTCCCACACCAACCATCATCTTGGGTTCCGCCCAAGCAGCCTGGGACCTTCTCGAGAAGAAGGGTGCCATCTTCTCTTCCCGCCCGCGCTTCATCATGGGAGGCGAGCTGCTTTCCGGGGGTATGAGGGGGCTGATGGCGCCGTACTCGTCCTACTGGAGGCGCTGGAGAAAGCTTCTTCACAGCGGCTTCATGCAGAGACAGAGCGAGACATACCGACCGATTCAGAGTCTCGAATCAAAGGTCCTGATGCATGAGTTGCTCGTGGATCCGATCAACTTCAGGAGACACCTTGAGAGATATGCCGCTTCTGTGATTGTGACCGTCACATATGGCAGGAGGGTTGAGGACGTGACGACAGATATTGTGGTGCAGCGCAACGCTGAATCCATGGGACGTTTGACTTCCGTTAAGTAAGTATACCCCAGCAATAAGAGCTAGAGCACTTCTGACGGATTCCTGAAGCATCCCCGGCAAGTTCGCAGTCGAGCGCTACCCAGCACTCAAGTACTTACCCACGTTCCTCGCCTCGTGGAAAGCTGAGGTCCTGAAGCAAAGACAGAAAGACATTCAGCTCTACACCGAACTCATGGATGAGGTTCGGGAAAAGGTTTCGAGAGGTGTTGCGCCAGAATGCTTCGCCAGACACCTCCTGGAAGAGCAAGCAAGTCTGGGTGTGTCGGACTTGGAGATTGCATATACTGCCGGGTCACCCTTTGGCGCAGGTGTCGAGACTGTGAGTTCTAGATATCATCCCAGTCATGGAGTTGAATCTTACAATGATAGTCCGCTGGATCTCTGGCCAGTTTCCTCCTAGCATGCGTGAAATTTGGACCCCGCTTCATCCCTCAAGCCCAAGAGGAGCTTGACAGGGTTGTGGGAAAGGACCGTCTGCCAGTGTTTGAAGATATGGAGAACCTTCAGTACATCCGGGCCATCGCCTCGGAGACGCTGAGATGGAGACCGGTAGCGGTCCTCGGCGGTACACCTCACGCCAGCACCGCCGACTATGTGTACAAGGGCATGTTTATCCCGAAGGACAGCACAATCATCGCCCCTCTTTGGAGTCGTAAGTATAGCCCAGAAGCGCTCACTTCTTTCCTCGCTAATACTGGTCAGTCCACCTAAATGAGTCGGACTTCCCGCAGCCTCACGAGTTCGTCCCGGATAGATTCCTGGAGCACCGCGATTATCCGGGGTCCTTCGGCCACAGCGCTTTTGGCTGGGGCCGCCGGATCTGTCCAGGCATGCATCTTGGCTCTGCTTCTGTGGCTATCAACATTGCACGTATTCTCTGGGGATTCGATGTGAGACCCGTAAAAGATGAAAGAGGGCGCGACGTTGACGTTGATATGTGAGTGAGATCTCCCGGGGAGCTGTTCATGACTGACAATGTTGTAGCTTCGCCTACTCTGATGGGTTCAACTCGAGCCCCTTGCCATTTCCTTGCTCCATCACACCTCGGTCACCACACCATGCTGAGATCATCGAAAGAGAACATGAGGATGCACTGAAAGCATTAGTAACGTATACATCTGTCGTCAGTAAGATATCATGAGCAATTTTGCTGGCCAGGCGGTGTCAATTAGCTATCCGGGTAGTGTCCAGCATACACGTAATCCGTTTATCCCGCGAAGATCCTCTATTTCTTCTCAAACTGAAGTGAATACATGTCTTATACACTCGCTTTCATCATCGCTATCGTCGTCATCTATTGTCATTATCGTTACCCCTATCATTGTCTCTACTGCTATCATTCATATCAAAGTATTGGTTACGCTACGATTGAAGTTATAGTGGACACTATCCAGCTCGCAAACTCATCATGAGTAGCAGCGTATACATAATACAGGGACATAACAAGTCACGTCTAGTCCGAACAATGCCTTTGCTCATTTAGTTTCTCATTTGACACTATTACTCCCCCGATCTCTACGCTAGCTGCACATCCTCAAACGTAAAGGGTATCTTCCAGTATCTCAAATCATCAAACTCGGCCTCGGAGATGTACTCCCTCGTGTTCAACGTCAAGGCCCAATCGACATCAGGTCGACTTGACGCAAACGATCTCGCGCCCACAACAGTGCCGTCGCGCTCAGAATAGACCGCCCGGCCACCAGTTCCCGCCACAGCATGGGAGCCAATAAACCTCGCAACGGTACTTGCGCTGGCCGCCAGAGAGAACCCTCCCATGCACTCCTCCTTGATAGCGCCGTCGCCTCCGTACGGTCCCGGGACAAGCCTGTACGCGTCGGGATCCACCGGGTCGTAACCCGTGTACTTGCTCTCCTGGACGATGCGGTCGTTGACGTGCTTCTCTCCGTCCGTTTCGTAGAGCCTAACGTCGAGGTCGCCGAGAATGTTCTGCTTGAGAAAGTCGAGATACGGGACGCCGGTGACGTTGCTCACGACGTAGCTCGCCAGCATCGTGCCGTAGTTGGAGTAGGAGTAGTCCGTCCCCGGCGCGAAGTCGAGCGTGCGGGTGAGCTGGTACTCGATCACATCGCGCAGCGTCGCGGCGCGGGTGCCATTGAAGAGCGCAAAGGCGATGTCGCGGAACATGAAGCCCGGGTCGCCGGACTTGTCGCGGTTGTAGCCGGAAGTGTGCCTGAGGAGGTGGTCGATGGTGATTTCGTTCGCCCGCTCGTCAACCGGCTTGTATCCGAGTAAGGGGTAAACCGGGGTGGAGTAGTTCAGCTTCCCGGCTTCGATGAGGTTGTAGACGGCCGCGTGCACGAATATCTTGCTGACGCTGGCGAGCAGGAAGATGTCATCGGCCTGCACGACGGCGCGGTTGCTCTCGGCCCAGGTGTAGCTGCGCTCAGCGATGGCGGTGCCGTTCAGCGCAATGGCAATCTGGGCTTGGCGGACGCCGTTCTTCGTCATCCAGGTCTGCATGGTCGAATCAAAGGCTGCCATCGCGGCGTCGTTGTCCTTGAACCCGGTGAACGACCCGGTGGCGGACCACTTTCGGGCCTCGGGGATGTCCTGCTCGGCAAAGATGACTGAGAAGCGGACGTCTGCTCCTGAGACACCGCCGTGGAGGTCGATCGGATATAAGCCCTGCGCCTTCTGCGACTCAATCTCGGCGGCCAGCTCAGCGCCGGTGAGGCCGTCCAAAGCCACCCATTTGCCAACCGCAGTATCGACGAAATGGGGCGTGATGACATGGTCGTCGGACAAGAAGAGACGGGAGGGGCGCCAGAAGCGTTTGGCGAGCTCGGAGGAGTAGATTTCCGGGTAGTTGATGGAGTAGTTCGTGGTGTAGAAGATGGTGGAGAGCTGGTTGCCGACATTCTCGTGGCCCAGGATGCAGTACCTGCGGTCTCCTGGGGTGCCGTACATCCGGAAGTCTTTCACCAACATCGGGATGCCGTTCGTGGCGTTGTCGTATGCGTAGGGGCTCTTCATGCCGCAGAGCTGCGCCCAGTTACTGACGTTGGCCTTCTCCATGACGCCCGCGAAGACGGCGCTGCCAGCCGGTCCTGTGGCGGAGACATGCGTTGAGACGTAGCCCTTGGCCTTCCACGAGTCGAACCATGAGTTGTAAGTTAATTCGTCTGCGTCGTAGATCACTTCAAAGGGGTTTCCGTCGCGCTTGACCCAGACGGCCGCGTAGTTCGCGTTCGGTGCGGTGCCGTATGCGCTCAGGGAGATCATCCGGTAGCCATCTGCGGTCAATGACTTGGCTCTGTCACCATGTGCCGCGCCCTTAAGGTTGAAGTATGTCTGGACATCGGCGGAACTGTCGTTGGCGACCCGACGCTCAGTCGGAATAGCGAACGTGACGCAGCATAATGAGAGACAAGAGGTCAAGAGACCCATGAGCGAGGGCGTGTACATGTTCAACGATCGAAAGCCGCCCAAAGGCAAGCGAGGAGGGTGGTTTTGGCAAAGATGGAGCAACAACGCTGCTGACTTCCACCAGCTTCAGCTTCGAGTGTGTCTTCCATGTTTTTATTCAGCATCAAGTGCTCTTGTTACAAATCCACACCATCCCTATTCTTAGAGTAACAAGCTAGATTGTGGTGATCATCTTGCGATACGAGATGAACCCCGTCCATGCCCCCACAACTTGGCGCTCGGCGAACCGCGCCCAGAACCCTGGTCCCCGGTTTAAGCACCCTGCAAAAGCCGGCTGAGCCCGCTGCTTGGGGGAATCCTCGCCTCCTGGCAGGGGATGAGATCTCTGGAAACATGTTTTTTACCTCATGGGCCCTCGGTTCGATCCTTCCATCCCCCGTATTCCAGTGTAACACGGTGTGGCCGGTTCTTTGGTAACGCCACTTGTGTGGATTTGTCCTTGGCTGGAGTCGCCGTTGGAGCCGAGGGAAGATGCGACCTTGGACTTGAATACGAGTATAAACCAGCTTCCCCTGTTGAGTGTAGTTCGTCTCGCGGGCTAAACTCAACGTCGCCGTTTCATCGCCACATGCGCAATGCGCTGTTGACATATGTCCACCGGCAGACAATAAAGGCTCCCGATCTGAACAAGTTTAGGTTCCATCGTCTGTATAAATCAGACACGCTTCTTTCCTCAGCCAAGACTTGCAAAATGATTCTCAGAGATTCTCAGGACAAAAGGCAAGGTGATCCGCTCATGGTGATCAAAAATGAGGTCCATCCAGGATTCGAACCTGGACTTACGGAACATTCCAACTCATAGAGAAGTCAGAATCCGACGTCCTAACCAACTAGACTAATAGACCGAAGGAAAGATGGAAGCAAGCAACATCCCGGCGCGGTCCTCGAGAGAGGGGCAAGGTCCATCCAGGATTCGAACCTGGGCTTACGGAAGGGAACTGATGGTATTCATCATCAGAATCCGACGTCCTAACCAACTAGACTAATAGACCAACTGAGCCGAAGCTGCTGTGCTGTGGAGGCCGGCTGGGGACAAGCAGATTATGACGTCGCGAATTTGCGTGTGTGAGAATTTGCGAGCCCTGGGTGGGTATTGCGGGCGGGGATCGTGACGGGGCCGGGTGCCGGGTCGGAGGACGGGGTGGGGCGGAGGGGATATCCCGGTCAACTTCCGACAACGGACTTGTAGTGGCTTGAGTGCGGTTGTTGGTGAGTCTAGGGCCATGCGTTTGTAACCTAACAAGAATTGTGGCACATCTCAGAAGCTTACCAATCCAGTTCAGTTCATGATATTGGACAACAATTGATGAGCAATACACGTTTGAATAATGTTGAAGCCGGCCTCTGGCCATGTTCATGTCATATCTACAAGATATCTCCTATGTACAATCTCAAACCACGCACAGCATGTACAATCCAATCAAGACCCCATTCACACCTCAACTCCCATCTCCCTAACCTAGCACCCGCTAGTCTTCACACCCTCCGCAACGCAAACCTTCCCATCAGGCCCCTTGCCCGTCAACTTCGGCTCTCCGCCACTACTATTCCCCTCAAACATCTCGCACACCTCCGCGCCGCCCAGCACGCACGAGTTCTTGATGTCCACCCCGTCGCCCAGGTTGCCGTTGACCGCGGCCAGCACCTTGCCGCCGTCGAGCCGCACGTTCTCGAACGTCGCGTGCCGCGTCGTCTGCGCCTTGCAGTTGCCGCAGCTGCGGTACATCTTGCTGCAGCTCTTACAGTAGAAGTCCTTGACCGCGACCGTGCCCCCGCCGTTGTGCTGCAGCACCTTGTCGTCGGCGTTCTGCGCGCCGCCGCCGTTGACAAATGACGTGCCCGAGGTCTGCTTGAAAGTGATTGCGTCTTCGCAGACGTCTTGGAACCAGCTGTATTGGGGTTAGCTTGAGAGGATATTGTAGACGCTGTGGTAAGACTTACACGTTGTTGATGGTGCAGCTACCAAGGCAATGGATACCCTCGCCATTATTGGGCCCGATCACAACGTTGCTGATCGTAGCCCCCTCCTCGAGAATGAACACAGCGTCCTTGTTCCCGCCCTCCGTCTGCCCCTTGCACGTGCTCGGGCTCCGGTCCCAGAGCTGCATCCCGCCGTCGAACGACTGGCCTGCCGCGATGGTCTTGACGGCGGCGAGGTTCTGCGAGCCCTTGGGGGTGGGAAACGTTGTCTTTAGACCACCACCGCCCGAGGTCGTCCCGTTGTTCGCGCCCCCGGACCCAGACCCTGACCCAGCGGAGCCCGTTGAGATGGGCACATGGGGCGCGGTCTTGGACGCCGTGTGCTTTGCCTTCTTGCTCCCCTTGGGGCTCCCGCTCTTGGAAGCCGGGGACGCGAGGGCGGTCGCGGCCAGGGCCAAGAGGAGGATGTTTCGGAGAGACATTGTGGAGGGGTCGTAGATGGAGTGGGAGATACGTCTAGCGTCTTGGCTGCGAGGTTGAGATGAAATGGAGAAAGGCTTGGCCGCGCAAGCTATGTGGGCAACGTGGAGAAGCAGAGGCGGGATGAGACGATAGACCAGCTGTCAGGTTTGAGACGAACCAGCCGTGTTGAAGGTATTGAGACGAAGAGTTATTGAAATCTTTCGAGCTCTTGAAAGCTGATGATGATTTCCTAAATTCGAATTCCCAAAGCTCGAGAGAACTCTATTCTGTTTATATAACCAAACTCCCATCTACAACTCCCCTTGCGAACCCCTATACCACCGTCCTCATAAGACAAAACTCAATCGCATCTTGGCTTCGAGAAAGAGACCTCCAAGCCAACCCGGGGCCCGAGCTCTCCGGCATCTTGCTCCCATTCTCTATCAAACATGCTCCTTCACAGAGATATATCAAAAGTCCCCAGTGTAATATCTATCCCAGGGCGACGGTGCGCTTCACGTTGAAAACGGGGGTACGTGCCCAAAGATCGTCCGAAACTTTGTTGTCAACTAAGCTTTTTCTGACGGATCCATCTGGTCCGGGATAGAGTGACCTTTAAGCAAAAGACCACCAATTGCGTGTGCTGGTGCTTCCACGTCGAACATGGGCTATCGATGTTGGGCGCTAATCTGTACCATCTGATGTCGGTCATGCGGCGGGGTCTGCCCTGTGTAGAGCCGCATATGCAAGCAACCGTTCATCTACTTCTGGTATGACCCTGACACGGACTTTCATATTCTTCAAACGGCCCTCCTTGTGGGGGTTTGGCTCTTATGCTTGCTGTAGTTCGGTTGAGATGCCGAATATCGTTCCTGCGACTGGGAGAGTTCCTTGTACCACGTCCATGACCCCAGCATTGACCAAGTCGAGCTCTCGGAAAAGTAAATGACACGGGCAGCCTTCTGCCATCTCTGCGTGAAACTAGCAGATGTAGCGACTTGTGGCATGACCCGAGTGCCTCGGAGCAACACCGGATTAACGATTTCAGACTGGATTGAATTATATCTACTTGAAATCAGCGCCGAATTATTCCGTTTTTCCAGACGCTTGTATTAACACAACACCGCAGGTTCTCCGGGGATGGTGCGGCGAGACATCAATCACCTCCACTGCTGTTGCGGCGGCCTCTGCTGCCTGTGTTGCTGTTCCGCCTTCAACTGCCTCTCAAACCTCTTTCCGTCCGCCCGGGCATCCTTCTCTCCATTACCTTTCCCATTTCCTACTCTTTTAAGTTCTTCCTCGACCATGCCCACTGCTTCAGCGACAACGTCATCGCCTCTCCGCCACGTGTACAAGGCAACTCCGTGCTGCTCCAATACTTCCTGTGCGCGCTGCAGACGGCGCATCCATAACTCGTGTTTCCTGTTGGGGTATGTTGGTCCCATCGTCGGAGACCCCAACGTTGGAGACGTGGCTCCCGACTTGAGGCTGTTCGACTTGGTCTTTGCAAACGCGGGCGGCTGAGAACCGGCAGACGGTGGGAGGGCTTCAAAGTCAATGTCGTCGTTGCTCGACAGTCTCTGCCGATTAATGGTCCGCGGGCTGAGGCTCCGGGCCCCGGACGGGGTGTCCCTGCGCCGCGGAGGTGGGGGCGGTGGTGGGACTTTGAACGCTTTGCTCATCTCCTCTGGGGTAGTCGATGCTGGTATCTTTGCTGTTTTGGGTACGCTGCCGGTGCTACCAACCGTCTGCTGCGATGCGTTGTGTATTTGTGACAGCGGATGAGGGGCGGATCGGTCAGCGGATGGTTTTCTCGACCGTGGCGCAGGCGGAGGTGGAGCAGAACCGCCATTGGAGCCCAAAGTAGGCACCTTCGTGTCTGAAGGAGCACTGCGAAGGGCTGCTGGCTTGACTGGACGAGGCGGTGGAGGTTTGCGGATAGCAAGATCAGACGTGCTCGCACTTGAAGTAGGTTTTGGCCTTGCCTTGAGTTGAGCAAGCGCAGCTGCGTCATCCAGAGTCGCCTGCTCCGGCTCGTCCGAGAAGTCAATCAGATCGCCCATAACGGGTCCGGCTGTCTTGTTCTCACCGCGTGGTGGCAGACCAGGCCTTTTTGCCGGCTCGTCGCTCTTGTCCTGAAGTCTGATTGTTGGAGCCTTCTGGCGAGCGGTGCCCTCGAACGATGAATCAAAGTAGCCGCTCTGTTCAGGAGTCGTGACATCACGGATGAACACTGCAATGATTCGTCCTGGATGGGTTTCAACCAGCTCAGTGTAGACTTCCAGATCAGCCTCGCCGCTGTCACCCACCAACAGGAACTTCCGCTCAGGGAAGTCCTTCATCAGCCGAGTAAGTGTGCTCTTCTTCCTTTCGGCCACCGGCTCGAAGATGCCCTGGAGCATACCGCTGTACTGTTTAAGGTGGAGAGATCCTGGAGGCAAGCCGGCAATCATAAAGTAGCTTGCCAAAACTGGGAATAACTGCCACGGGCTGTTTGAGCAGTAATGTATGCTGACGCCCATCGCGTGCAGCTCGTTGTACCACTCCTTGACGCCCTCGACCGTTAAGTCCTTCAGCTCACGGATGAACGTGTTTCGGAAGATCTCCTTCGCGCCGCCAGAGATGTTGGACCGCTTGATGGTGTCGTCGATATCGCTGATCAGACTAACGCCCCTTGGTTCAATGATCTTGACTTCTTGAACTGCCGATAGGCTTTGGTTGGCCAAGACGCGGACATGTGTTGGAACAAAGTCCAAGGCGGCACGTATGACGAAGTGACCAGCGTCATTGGTCTGCACCGTCCGCGAAGCCGACTTCTCATCGTTGTAGAAGAATATGGTGATGGGAAGCTGAATCAGGGGTGTCGTCATGAATGGCGCTATCCTAGCCATGAGGTTCGCGTTTGCGACGGATAATTCAGCCTCCGACAGCTCGTTGCCGTTCGTGTACTGCCTAGCTGGCATCTTGGGCGATCCTGGAGCCGTCATAGGCGTTCGGTTGCCACTGCGAGATCTTGACCTCGCGGGGTATATGCTACCGGCGTCATCGTCGTCCTCCTCTCGCGCCGCTTCGCTGAAGCCACCGCGATTTGCCACACGCCTCTCCTCCTGACCCCTCTTCTCAATCTCTGCCGCCTCTTTCGCAATCTTCTCCTGCTCCCTCCTCTCCTCGTGAGACTGGTGAAGCGCCCCCAGCGAATCCGAGGGAGGGGCGTCTTGCCTGGGCGCTGGGATGCCGCTCAACTGGCGCGCGAGCCCGATGAGAATCCGATTGCGTCTAGTCATGGGCCCTTTGTGCGGCGAGTAAACCCATCCTCTGACGTCAATATCCACAATTGCCCTCTCGTCTTCGTTGCGCTCCCACTCTTGCCTCCAGTACTCCGAATCTCTAATGGCCCCGTGTGGTTCATTCGAGATGTACTCGTTTTCATCGCCCCAATCTTGCTTGGTGTGTCGCTTCGCATAGGACGGAAAGATGACCATCTGGTCGTCACCCTGCACTGTAATGGCAACATCTGGGAATGATCCGGGTATTGTCGTCCTCGGCATGCCATCGTCTGGTTCCAGCGACCTCACCCGCGTCTGCGCATATCCTTCTCTTATCTCGTTCATCGCAACTGCACCGGCGCGATACATGCTGCCTGCCTTTGCAGCCAGCCATTTCCGACGGAAACCTCTCTCGCCTTGTGCCGGCTCGCCCTCTGGCGCCGCGCCATATCCATAGCCGTTCCCATCCCCATTGCGGCTGGAGTTAGCCGTAGCTCCTCCTCCTCCTCCTCCTCCTCCTCCGTTGCCTGTGTAGTCTGACCAAGTGGACATCGTTTTGCCTGGGCGTCCTGCTCTCGCATGCCTCGCCGGCCTCGCTGGGGGTGGGCCCAAGAGCAGCCGGCGACTTTGCCGCCGGAAGACGTCGACAAGCCTCGACTTTTCGTTCCGCTTGCGCTGGCGCTCAAGAATCAACCGGTAAATGCGGGACTGGAAGCGATGCTTGAGCTGCGGAAGCGTGTCGAGCCGGAAGTTGAGGACGCGCTCGCGATATCGATCTCGGACGGTTCGCGGGAAGAGGTATCGCAGCAGACTGAGTCGATTATGAGGATGCGGGTGCGGGGGACCAAATCGCCTGAAGGGCCTGAAGGGAGCCAGCTTGATCGTTGTAGGTGCCTTGGACAAGATTCCAAGACGGGCGCGATGGGGTGCGGGACGGCCCTGGTTTTGTTCGTAATGCAGGAAGGGTCTCTCCGCGTCGTCTGTTCTCCAGAGGCGGCAGGTCGTGGGCTCACCGGCGTCGATTACTCGTCCGAGGCTCAGCGAGGCAGACCGGAGGTGCACGAGGCTGCGCAGGCGACAGCGTCTTCTGACCCCCACGCTCTACAGCTGATGAAGAAGCGGCAGAGAATGATGGAAGCACATGATCTGGGCGACGAGTTTGGGAGGCGGAATCGGCGGTCGAGGGGTCGAGGCAAAGTAGCGGGAGCACGCGGGTAGGGAGGGATGAGCTAGGAGCTCGTGACGACGGGCGGGCGAAGCTTTAGGTTGTCTCTGGTCTCAGAAGCTGCCGGTGCCGGGTCGGGGTGTCTCGATTTCCAGATGCGACCAAGTGCCAGAAATGCATGGAATATTATGCAGGCGGCGTAAGACAGCGGCGCCTCCTCCTCAGCGAGCACCTCAGCTTACTGCCCTCTGAATGAGGGCCACGTCCAAGCGAAACGAGATGTTACGTCATCTTTTAAGCTTGCCGAGCTCCCGCTGAAGCTTCCAATGCGCTGCGTGAGGTGCCCTGTGCTGCGATCGTCTTCAGCAGTGGTTTTAAACGAGGCCCACTGAAAAAAGGACGCTGCAAATGTAACGTGCCTGGGCCAGACCAGAGTCCATCAACTGACGCTCCGGCGCGGGACACGTGAGGGCCTGTCAACTCGCTCGATGTAACTGAACTGTCGCATTTCGGTCCTTTTGCTGGCGCACTTCCCCATGATCCATGATGAACGAAACTTCGTGCCAAGAAAGAATTAGATGGTATTTCAACATGGTATTTTGGTCTAAACTTTTCCCTCCGTTATGCCCACCGACGACTACCTCTTTCCACGGGCCATCTTCGCCCTCATTCTGCCGTTCTTGGGGACCTTCTTCTTCTTGAGGTTTAGCACGGCGCCTTGTCCAGCACGCTCCGCCTTGCCCTTCTTCCATACGTGGCCCTCGCTCCTGATGGCCTTGGCGTCGAGCTGCTTTCTGGCCTTGTTGCTCATCTTCACCTTCTTCTTGCCCGGGCCGCCCTCGCCGTTGAGCTCGGCCCGGCCCGCGTCCTTGGCCTTCTTCTTGTCCTGCTCCGTCTCGAACCATGTCCTCTTCGGCCTGGACTTGATCTCGGCCTCGTGCTCGAGGATGTTCTCTCCCTTCCTGACCTGCATCTCGGCCTGTGCGAACTGCTTCTCTTGCTTCTCCTCGACGATGATCTCCTCGATCTCGTCTTCCATCTCGTCCACCTGAGCTTGCCACTTGTCTGCTTCCGCTGGCTCGATGACTCGGCTCATGATCTTGGCTCCCTGGGACTTGCCCGCCTTGACCGCGGCTTTGACGACCTTGCGGTCCGGCTCGGCAGCCAGGGTGACGGCGACACCGCTTCTGCCGGCACGCGCAGTACGGCCGACTCTGTGCACGTAAATCTCCAGCTTCTGCGGCGCCTCGTAGTTGATGACGGTGTCAACGCCCTTGATGTCGAGACCACGAGACGCAAGATCGGTGGCCAAGAGGTAGTTGACCTTGCCGTCACGGAAGTTCTCTACACTGGCAATTCTCTAGAGGGTTGTTAGTGACGTTCTTGGCGGATTATGAGACAGGTGCTTACCTGAGCCTGGTTCATGCTACCGTGGAGCTCCGCGCAGGACATGCCCAGCATACCAAAGATGATTCTTGCCCTGTGAGCCTCCTTCTTTTGGCGGAAGAAGATGATGACCCGCTCGGTATGCATCGTCTTGCAGATGTGGATCAAGTAGCCCATGCGCTTCTCCTCACGGCCGGGACGCAGGCGGATGAACTCTTGCACCAGGGTGCCGACTGTCTTCTTCTGGGAATCCACCATGACCCTGGCGGGCTTGTTCATGCCGACGCGGACCAGGCGGTCGACAGACGACGTCATGGTAGCAGAGAACAACATGGTCTGCCTTGACTTGGGGAGTGTGGTGAGAATCTCGTTCAGTTCGTCGGCGAAACCGTCCTCGAGCATACGATCGGCCTCATCAAGCACCAGAATCTCTACAGTGTCGACGTTGAAGCTGGCAGAGTTTCTCATGTGATCGATGAAACGACCGGGAGTAGCAATGATGACATCCGGCCGTAATCTGAGTTCGACCTCTTGCTGCTTCAGACTGAGACCACCAACGGCCAGTGTGAACTTGATGTCCGTGTAGGCCGCGAGCTTGGTAGCGACGGCGTGGCACTGGATAGCCAATTCACGGGTAGGGGTGAGGATGACGACACGGCTGGTGGGCACCTTCTTCGGTCTATACAGGAGACGCTCGAGAATGGGCACGACGAAGGCGGCTGTCTTTCCAGAACCAGTGACTGCACCACCGACAACATCCTTGCCCATCAAAGCGATGGGCACGGTCTTGGCCTGAATGGGCGTGGGCTTGGAGAAGCCAACGGCGGCAAGACCTCTGAGAAGGGGACGCGACAGAGACATGCCCTGGAATGATGAAGCGATATCCTTCTTGCCGGGCTGTGCGGGCTCCTCTGGCGCGAAGAAGGCATCACGCTTGGCTTGTTCCTCTGCATCCTCCTCTTCGTCGTCTGAATCGTCGCGGGCGTCGTCGGGGTGGTCTACGGGTGTCGCAACGGAGTCGTTGTCTGATGCAGCGGCGTCTTCGTCTTCTGCGTCGGGAATTTCCTCATCGGCCGACCCTTCGTTCTCAGGGTCAACACCCATGCCGAAGGCGTCGTCGGCAAGCACTCCGTCTTCATCGTCGTCGAGGTCGATATCCATGTCGTTCTCTGCCTCGTCGTCGTCGTCACCAGCCTCCTCCTGTACGGCGGCCTCGGGCTCCTCGTTGCCGGTCTTCTTCGCGCGCCTCCTGCGGATGATCTCGTCCAAATCGACGCCAACCGGGTCCTGGTTCTTCATGGACTTCTTTGCGCCGTCGAAGCCCCAGCCCTCAAACTCGTCGTCGCCGAATTCGACAGCGCCGTCTTGGGCAAACTCGAAGTCGGAGTCCATGGCACCGTCGTCGTCTTCATTCTTGCCCCAGATGCCTTCGCGCTCTTCCTCCTCCTCTTCCTCACCCTTCTTAGACTTCTTGGACTTCTTGGCGGTCTTCACCTTCTTCTTCGGGGGCGGCGCGACAGCCTCTTCTTCCTCGACAATGTCCTCGTCATTGTCGGAAATTGTGTGGACGAAGTCGTCGTCAATCGGCTTGCGTTTCTGAGAGGGGGCCATGTTGGGTGGTTGAGAATTGTTGAAAAGCGAATGGACAGTCCCGCGGGGTATCGTCTGCTCTAACACGCTTTCCCAATCCCCCAGCTCGATCTTCAGTGCCAGAATTTTTTCTGAACGGACAGTGGAGCTTGACTTTTTCTGCCGCCGTCGGGCCCCACCTGGACCAAGCGGTCAGACAACTCGGTCCCATCCGCCGCGCTGGTCAGTGCGTTACGTGATCGGAGGACGGACACGTGACGGTGTTTGTCATCAGCAGAGACGGCCAGGCCGCCAGCCAGTCACTGCCAGTGTTTAGGGGGGACGTGGAAGGTAGGGGCAACTCCCGAGTAATTGCCCCCACCACGGTTGATTGGGCGACCACTTATTGCCAACAATTTTGGCAGCCTTCACGCCGCCGGCGACAAAGCAACGAGATTTAATTTCTGCCACTTCGACACTTGCCTGTCTCGTCCTAAGCCCAACTCCGGTGCTCTAACCACCCACGTCTCCTTTCTCTACGCCTCATCGCGTCTCTGCTTCTCGAGCGTCCTTTCGATTCCCGGTTTTTTGCGCGCGCATTCTTCATCCAAACACACGAAAAATCCCAGAGATCAGTCACATACGGTCAAGATGGGCGAATCCAGGTTCGTATCTTTCCACGGCCTTCCATCTCGCGGCGCCCACCACCACCGCACCACGGACCCGGCGCGTCGCAGATTCGACATCGAGCACTCCCAGCTAACAGAAAAGACTATCCAGACAGGAACTCATCCAGTGGTTGAACCAGCTGCTGTCCCTCAACATCACAAAGGTCGAGCAATGCGGTACGGGGTAAGTGCAGCCCGATACCCCTCCCCCGCCATATAGCGATTTGTGGGACCTGGTGATTTTTGTGATGTGTTGCTAACGCCGGTTTGACTGCAGCGCGGCGCTATGCCAGGTGTTTGACAGCATCTTCATGGACATCCCCATGTCCAGGGTCAAGTTCAACGTCAACAGCGAGTATGCATACATACAGAACTTCAAGGTGTTGCAAAGTGAGTCCAGCCCTCGATCCTGCCTTGCGTTTGGTGCCCAGCGAACCCGACGCTGACCATTGCTCTCTGCAGACACCTTTGCCAGACATCAGATCGACAAGCCCATCCCCGTCGAAGCCCTCGTCAAGTGCAAGATGCAGGACAACCTCGAGTTCCTTCAATGGACCAAGAGATTCTGGGACCTGAACTTCCCCGACCACGACTACGATGCTGTCGCCCGCCGAAAGGGCGCTCCCGTGTCCGGCGGTGGCGGTGCCGCCCCCCGCGCTGCTCCTGCTGCCGGCGCTGCCAGACGAGGAGGCACGACCCCCTCGGGCGGTCCGCGCGTGGCCAAGGCGGCCGGCCCCGGCAGCGCCGCCCTGCAGCAGGAGAATGCCACCCTCAAGGAGACTGTCGTCGGTCTGGAGCGTGAGCGTGACTTCTACTTCAGCAAGCTCCGCGACATTGAGCTTCTTGTGCAGCAGGCCGTCGAGGAGGACCCCGAGCTGGAGAAGCAGGAGGACGGTCTCGTCAAGCAGATCCAAACGATTCTGTACTCGACAGAGGAGGGCTTCGAGATCCCCGCCGAGGGAGAAGCTGCCGACGATCAGGAGACCTTTTAGGCAGGTGTTGCCATGGACCAAGGTGTGAGGAGGGCGCGGGCATACCCAAGACTATTGGATGGGCATGCAGATTGGGGTTTAAGCAAAAGCACATGGGTTTGGCTGTAGTACAAATACCCAGAGGCACGTAATAATCGTATACTGGCGATGAGGCTGAGCAGCACTCGGACGGCGTTGGCAGCCTGGAATAGGGTCGGCCGGCTGGTCAGGGCTTGCGGCGCTCTTGTCCCACATGAGCAGTCATGATAGAATCAAAACATTTTGGTCTGGGAACCCCGAGTCATTTATGTTCGTGTGGTGTGAGTGAGAGCGAGGCACGTATGGTCCCGGACCACGCGTCCGAGACGGCTCAGACGATTCGTATGGGGTATTTTGGTTCGGCACAGTAGTCTGTCTGGGCTGAGAGTGATCCTCCCAAGTTTCAATCTACTAGTCGTCGGAGAGGTGAAGCTTATGCATGAACATGACTACTGCATTTCGGATGAATATTCTGGAAGGCTTCTTCTCACGCTGTCACTTGTCTAGTGTGGAAAGATGGGCATGGCAGCTGTCATGGCAGAGAAGACGGTGTGCCCGCGGTGAAGAGCCACAGCGTTGTATCCATCTCAGTCGGGATCTTCAGGCAGTGACAATCACTCGGGCTTCGGTGTCTCTCTTTGGCCCTCGTCATGAGCCCAAGCCCAGGCCCTTCCTGATGAGGTGTCCCAGATATGCGGTCATTCCTGCGGCAGGCTCCAGTTTAGTGGTTCCATGCAGGCGCCACAGGCGTCAAACAGCGCACACGACCACCAACCTCTCCCCCTCAGGCTGCCGTCTTTCAGAACCAGGCACGCCCAGGAACCCAGGAACCTGCCATTCAACAGTGGGCCGTCGTCGTTTTTAAAGGAACCGACCACCTGCGCCTTGCGCCCGGCTGCAGCACACCTCACTGGAGCATTGCATGCGCTGTGCTGCTCACCGGACTGGACTGGAACGTGAACCTTGATTGCATCTCCCCGGGACCTGACGCAAGCAACGAACCGAATTCGTCCTTCTTCAACAACATTGTTTTTTACCAGCACGACGCGGCGCTCGACAACGTTTACGATTGCGTTTCATTTGCGAATTATCCACATCATCCCTTCGACGACGCCATTGCGACTGCCAGCACGCAGCAACCACCCACGCCAACCGACCAAGCCACTTACACTCCCACCCGACGAAGCGAGCGAGCGAGCAATCACCGCAAGCCAGCCCAGCTCAGCTCATCCGAGCCCAAGCTCGTCCAAACCCGACCAGCATCCCATCATCCCCAATCGTCGAAAGAACCAAAGAAAAAAACCTTCCATCCATTCACAACAAACGGCCGTCACAATGGCTCCCCCGGCCGAGATCTCCATCCCCTCGACCATCCTCTCGACCGGCGAAGCGAAGCCCTACACCCTCTACAACATCACCCTCCGCCTGCCCCTGCGCTCCTTCGTCGTCCAGAAGCGATATTCCGACTTCGCCACCCTCCACCAGTCCCTCGCCGAGCAGGTCGGCGCCCCGCCCCCGAAGCCGCTGCCCGGCAAGTCCTGGTTCAAGTCCACCGTCTCCTCCCCGGACCTGACGGAGCAGCGCCGACAGGGCCTCGAGGCCTACCTCCGCGCCATCGCCGAGTCGCCCGACCGCCGCTGGCGAGACACCTCCGCCTGGCGCTCCTTTCTCAACCTCCCCAGCACCGGCGGCGGCAGCACGAGCAACTCCGCCGCGAGCGCCCACGGCCTGATCACAAGCGGCCGCGCCGGCGCCGCGGACCCGACGACCTGGCTCGACCTGCACCGCGAGATGAAGAGCAACCTCCACGAGGCGCGGCTGAGCCTGTCGCGCAGGGACGCCGCGGCGGAGAACAACAACAGCACGGCGGCGGCGGAGGCTGGCGCCGCGGCGAAGAGGGCGCTGGTCAAGGCGGGCACGCTGATCGGGAACCTTACCGCGGGGCTGCGCACGATGCAGGAGAAGGGCGCCCTCGGCGACGGCGAGCTGCGCAGGCGGCGCGACCTGCTGGCCTCGGCGCGGGTCGATAGGGAGGGCCTGGAGCGGCTGAGCAACAGCATGTCGCAGAACGGCCGGGCCGCCAGGGAAGGGTGGGCCTCGTCGGGGGACAAGGCGGCGCTGCTGGGAGGGGCCAGCAGCAGTGCCAGCGGGGCGCGGACCGGCGGGCGGGTTCTCGGCGCGCCGCTGCCCGAGACGGAGCGCACGCGGGAGCTGGACAACGACGGGGTCGTGCTGCTGCAGCGGCAGATGATGAGCGAGCAGGATGAGCAGGTGAACACGCTCGCGGCGATTGTGCGGCGGCAGAAGGAGATGGGGCTGCAGATCAACGACGAGGTGGAGGCGCAGACCAAGATGCTCGACCGGGTCAACGAGGACGCCGACCGCGTCGGCGGCAAGATCAAGGTCGCGAACCGGCGCATCGGCAAGTTCTGACTGCGGCGCGCTGTCGGAGTCGTCGCGCGGGTCGTCGTCGCGGCGATGGAGGTCGTCGTCTGGCTGCTTTGGATCGGGGGCGTGGTTTGGGATGCTTTTGCGTGGTGTATGGAGTTGGGCTCTCTTCTTCTCGTTGCAAGGAAAGCATGATACGGGGGAAATTTTGTTCTTACGGCATTTTAACTTGCAACAAATTAGCGACAGGTTTTAGGTTGTCGCCCATGATCACCTTCACCGACTCCTGTTTTGTTTTCTTCTTCTTACGCAAAGGCATGACGGAAGCGGGCTGGGAAAGGGGAACTCAGATTGTGCTACGGAAGCCCGTTTTGGATGGATTAACGAGAGATGGGAAATTCTGAGATGCGTTTGGACGCGCGTATATAATCACGACGGGAAGAAAGAGATTGGACAGTGCGATAGGAATGAATACCAAGGCTGTTTTGGCGTTTACGGGTGGTCTCGTGTGTTTCTGGTATTAGGATGAAGCCACTCCAAAATAATATTCAAGTGCGATCGAGGTATTTATATCTCTGCAGAGTCCGGCTTTTTGACGTTCGGCCACCACCAATACTTGGTCTTGATAGCGCTGAGTGTTGCCATGACCGTGCTGCGGAATACGCAAGAGAAGGGCGTCGTGTGATTGATCTTCGGCTGAGCCTGCGGTTTACGACATCATGGCAATCAACACGGGTATTGGATGCGAATAGCTTCACAATGGTAGTGTTGGACCACAGCTGGGTGATATACGACGACAACTGGACATCGATGAGAGTCATGTGAGGCGACGAAGCAAGCCAAGCAGAGCTTTGCATACCAAAGCTTAGCCGCGCCCGACGTCTTGATGATTGTGCTTGTAGTAAATCCAACCAACTGGGTTTGTTGGCTGTATTTATAGATCGTTACAATCTACTGAGCCTAGAGGTGCGGTAGATGGCTTGTTCGCGTGCCACACAACCGATCTCGACACACTGAATCGTAAGTAAGCGAGTGGTTCAGCGACGTCTGGAGCAGTCCCTTCTCTTGATCTTGTCTGTTTTCTCAAGGCTGCGGTTAAGTTGTCGCAATGAGGTTGTGTTTACCAGAAAGACAACGTTGTACTCGGAGGTCTTGACGTTCGATGTATTATGCTTGAGAGACCAAATTATGACCCTCGTCCCCAATACTGCGGTCGCATTTGGTCACACGAGGTTGTAAGATGCCCAAGACTGAAGCATCCTTCCGTCTGCCACGGTCACCACCAAGCTGATGCTCGGCATCGACCCGGAGCTAATGTGTCAAGTCATCCCAAGCCTGCGGGATGCAAGAAGAGCCGCAAGACGGGAGTTGTTGACACTGGACGCGACGGAGTGTGGCCGCGGACCGTTCCTCATGCACATGCAGACGGTGCTTATTGGGTTGACCCCTGCTCATGGGGTTGCATGCATGTAGCGCTTGTCACATCCTCTCGTCTTTGTTCAAAACTCATTTCTCGTGGGGATAAGAAGAAAGTTGAAGCGCCGCCCTAGTCTCGACGCTACGTTTGATCGTAACGATGCCTTGGATGTTGGCAGTGGTGATCATGTCCGAGGCCCTGGCAGTTTGTTGACCACCCCGGAATACTGACGTCTTCTCCGCCGTCGTCACCGCAAAACACCGGTTTTTTTCTCGACCCGGAACGTCGAAAGCGTTGCCGGCCGGCAGGCTCCAGTCGTCCAGAAACGTTCAAGCGTGGGCGTGAGCAGCGCCCACACGGTGACATCTGATACGTCACTCGCGCTCGTGGTGCAAGGGACTTCCCGCGGTTGCCGGGCAACGAGACCGTTTGGGTGGGAAGAGCGAGGGACAAAGCTCCACCGTCCGGCTTGCGCACCGCAACGGTTGGAGGTCGAGAGTGTGAAAGAAGAGTTGAGACAATGTCACAGTTGGCGCCCAACGAGTCCGACGGTAGCGATTGTGGCCCCCATTGTGACCGTCGCTGTTGCATTCGCAATCGCAATCTTAACCGATCACCCGCAGGATTCGAGGTTCGTCTCGAAGGGACGTCCCAGACATCTGGTAGGGACGGAAGGAAGAGGGCCTCGCCCTTCGCAACGGGGCATTGGCGGAGGCCGTGAGCGAAGTGTTCCTCGCCAGCTGGCATATGGGCTTTTCCTCATGAGGCATTGCTAAACATTGCTGGCGCCGACGCCTCCCGGGGAGGATAGCCTCAGACTCCGCGATTCGCTGCCGGGGGTGGATCTCAACCCCAGCGAGGCACCGCATCAGGACCACAGGCGAGTGTGCCAAGGGCCTCTCATAGGCAGGAGATTGAGCAATTTCTTGGGATTGGGCCGCCGGCCAGAAGTCTGCAGAAGTCTGCTCGAAAGCGAGAGCGGGGAGAGGGGTTCTTTGGCTGCGGTGTTTGCTTGAAGATGGGCGGTGGACATGGCAACGGGGGCAGTTTGTTTTGGCGATCTGTTGGTGGTGAGTGGTCGAGAGTTCGATGATGCTTTGTGGCCTCTTCCAGTTGGACGATGGGCGGTGTGTATGTGTGTGTTCGTATTTGCATGGCAGCAGCTGTATCTGCAGTCGTAAGCAGTCAGTTACCAGTGGCCCTCGCGATGACGGCCGAACCACTCGATCGTGGAAGGTGGGATGAACAGTTGCCGGGATGAGGGGAGTAACACGCTGCGAACTGAAGGCATCGTGGGCAATGGCATGAGTCGGTGGCGGAGGTTGGAGCTCGGTCATCCGCCTGTTTGGCTTTTTTCAGGGTCTTGCCGGCGCAGGGAACATCCTCTGGGCGAGAGCAGAGGCCGTGGCTGGGACCCAATGCATGATGGCTGCCATCTGCCGTGCGTCTCTTCAACGACCTTGCGTCTTGTTGCTGTTGAATGCTGCCGGATGATAACGGCCCCCAGGCGATGCATGCAGATGGGACGCAACGAACACAATATCAGAAGCAGAAGCCGACGATGAGGCTAAGACTCCAAATTGGAAGGCCCAGCTGGTGACAGCACCTGCCATTTGGTAACCTAAGAAAGCGCTGATGTCTATCAAATGTCACCATCCTTCGCTTAGCCGGCTGATGCGGTTGACGGGGAGGTCAGTGAGCTCCAGGTGGGTCCCTGTCCGCTGGAGCAACAGCGTTCAGTGGGCTGACGGTGGGAGAACAGCCACTGAGACTGCGCAGCCAGTCGCTAGCGCCCAGTCACACCCCCCGAGAACTGAGGTCCCCCTCCTCTCCTCAGTGAGGCCAGACCTGTCCAATTGCCATGAGAAATTCCCAAAGTAAACACAAAAGAATTCCTCCCCCTTCCCGCTTGCCTCTTCTCGTCACATCTTCCCTCAACACCTCCCCCAAAATCGACCTCCACCAAGAGCGGTTCTCGTGATACCATCCCGATCCGTCCTTCGACCTGCCTTACTAACGGGCAGGTCGATTCCGACAATAACAATTCTGTCTCATTGCCCCGCGATCGGACGCAATCCAGCCAGCTAAGCACCACCGCCAGACGAAGACAAAAAAAAAAAAAAAAAAAAAAACNCAAAAAAAAAAAAAAAAAAAAAAAAAAAAAAAAGCGCGAGGCCGGAGCGACAGCCCAGCAGCTGCAACCACACTGTCAATCGACAAAATCCTCGATACCCGCTCCGTCGCTTTGACATCCGTCTTTGCCCGTCCTCTGTTCTGGGTTTTTGGCGTTTGTTTTTGCTTTCTTGCTGCTTGTGAGTCCGAACCCTCCCAAGCAAGGCCATGCATGACCATCCTGTTCCTCCCGACTTTTTTCTCTGGTCCCTCCATCACCGCATGCCAACCACTCCTCTACTGCTGGACAAAATGCTCATGACCTCTATGCAGACGCTTCACGACTTAACGATTGCCAATGGCCCTACAAAGATACCACTAGAGCTCTTCATTCCCACCAGAGACTGAGTCTCATTCGAGCTGTAAAGCTCGATCCGACCAGCTGCTCCAGCCAACCGACCTCAACCACAAGTGCTGAGGTCTCCACGACATGAGCGGACCTCCTCCGCCACCGCCTCACGGCGAGAATCCCAAGACCACCGCCGGCTCTCCCCCGCCTGGCGCTGGCTTGGGGCCAGGCAATTACGACATATTCGTCATTCCTCAGCGCGATAAGGGCGGCGGCTTCATCTACCTCCCGTCTCTTGCGCCCAATGGCCCCAGCTTCGCAGCCGGTTTTGCCTGCGCCCTGGTCATGGTCGTCATGTTCCAGAGCATGGCCCCCGCCTTCCGCACATGGTGGGGAACCTACCAGGGCATGGGAAACATGGGAATGTCACTCCTCGTCATCGCCGTCGGTGTAGGAGCATGGGCATGGGGCAAGTCGCAAGCGCAGCCGTCTGCCTCAAACGGCAACGGTCCCAACGGCGGTTGGCGTACAGGCCCGGGAGGATATGGTTCTTACGCGGGCAGCGGCAACTTCGCCAACGGCTTCCCCGGAACCGGTGCTCCTCCTCCCCCTCCCCCTCATGGCACTCCCCCTCACGGCAGCCAAAACACCGGTCATTCGAGCGGTTCCAGCTACGGGTCGGGAAATGGGGGGCCTAGGTCTTCCTGGCAAGAACGACCACAAGGGCCTCCTCCTCCGCCACCCCGTCAGCCAGAGCCCGAGCCTGAGCCCGAGCCTGAACCCGAACCAGAGCCTCGCAAGCCGGATCCTCCTCCAAAGGCGAGGCCTGAACCAAAACCCGAACCTAAACCGGAGCCCAAACCAGAGCCCAAACCGGAACCCAAGCCGGAGCCCAAACCTGAGCCGAAGCCAGAGCCGAAGCCTGAACCCAAGACTTCACCACAGAAACCGCCACAGAAATCCCAATGGGAGAAGGCTAGAGAGGAGACGAGAAAGCGCGAGGAAGAGCGCAAGGCCAAGGAAGAGGAGGAGAGGCGCAAGGCCGAGACGGCCCGCAAGCTGAGAGAGTTCCGGGAAAGAGAAGCCCGTGAACGTGCCCGACGAGACAGAGAGGAGCGTGAGAGACGGGAGAGAATCGAGCAAGACATTCGCGAAAAGGAGGAACTCAAGCAGAAGCTGGAGATTGAGCGACAGGAGAGAGAAAAGCTCCAACGCGAAAAGGAAAAGGCCGAGCAGGAGGCCAAGGAGGCCAAGGAGCGCGCCGAGAAGGCGGCCAAGGAACGCGAAGCCCAAGTCAACAAGGAGCGCGCAGACAAGGAGCGTGAGGAGGCGCGCAAGAAAGAGGCGGCGGAAGCTGCCGCCCGCAAGGCCCGTGTCGAGGCACAGCTCGAAGCCTTTCGGAAAGCCAAGAGGGAGCGTGAAGCTGCGGAGAAGGCCAAGAAGGATCGTGAAGAAGCAGAGAAGAAGAAGGCGGAGGAGGAAGCTGCTCGCCGGGCCAAGGAGGAGGCGGAGCGCATCGCAAGAGAAGAGGCGGAACGAAAGGCAGAGGCTGAACGAAAGGCAGAGGCGGAAAGAAGGGCAGAGGCTGAGCGAAAGGCCGAAGCAGAGCGCAAGGCCAAAGAAGCAGCAGAGGAGGCGGCGAGAAACACTCGCAAGAGTGGCTCTTACGCCTTCTCGTCGGTCGGTGAGAAGACAAGTATGTGGCCCAACGGCCGACCTCCCGCTCCCCCCACCTCCCCATCCGTGGCTTCGTCGCAGCCGTCGAGACCTCCCCCATCCGCGGCGTCGTCGGCTCCCCCAAGACCTCCCCCGTCTGCGTCTTCTTCTGCTCCCCCAAGACCCCCTCCATCAGCCAGCTCTGTGCCGCCAAGACCCGCGCCTTCTGCGACATCTTCGAACTCGAGACCTGCGCCTTCTGCGACGTCCTCGAACACATCGAGACCAGCGCCTTCGACAGCATCCTCGAACACGGCGAGACAGCCCCCGAGGCCGTCAGCACGAACAGAGCGAACCGTCGACGAAGAGCAATACTCGTACCGACCATACGATAAGCCGAAGCACAAGCCGGCGTCATCCATCGGCTCCGAGTCATCATGGGCCCCGTCGGCCACGACTACGCGAACGACACCGCCGCCTAGCATGCGCGCTCCGTACACGACGAAAGACCCCGACAAGATTGTCATCAGGGCAGTCTATCTGTTCATGAATCAGTTTGCCAAGACCCCGGCCAGCCAGCTCGTGTCGGGGTTTGGCACAGTGACAGATGGACTTATCCTGCGGATAACGACCGAAGGCCTCTTCATCGACGACGATGTCCGCGGCGTCCCGCAGCGCGAGTGGGACGTCAAGGCCTGGACGTTAAAGCTGGTCGAGGTATGGTGCCCCCCGCACTGCTTGAATTCCGCTGCTGCTGCTTCTACCCCGTCGAATTCTGCAAACCATCCATCTGGCTTGTTTCAAAAAATGGCGAATCAGCGAGCGCGTACGGCGGATAGAGGCGCCACGAAAATGCTCACGGGAGACGAAGCTGATGCCTACCTGACCGAAATGTTGCGTGCTTGCAAGAATTGCTGCCGTCTTGGCTTGTGCGACACAAAGTTCAAAGATACTAACATCCCATCTTCGGCCGGGCAGACTGGGGAGTGGAGACACAAGAGCCTCCACGTCCTGCGCGCAACTATCCGAGATCAAGAAGGCAAGCGATACATGTTTGTCCTGGACGAAGAGGAGGCCTGGAAGGTCGCCGTCGGCGTGCAGAGGCTGCGCAAGGGCACCCAGGTGCGCTCGCTGGGCGTCAGCGGCATGTCTGCGTCCGACGCCAGAGGCACACTCGAGACCCTCGGCTGGGGTTAAAGGCTTGCTGCCGACTTTTGCAGCTTCAATTGGCCGACTGTCGTCTGGCGGTTGTCGATAATATGTAAACGGCTGAGAGGGTGACGGGCAGGCAGGCTGCTATTTATGAGGCATCGAAGGAAAGACGCGGGACGTGCCAGATGAGCATTTCAGTTTGGACGTGGAATTCGGTTGCATAGCAGAGCGAGGGTGGCACATTCCAGGGAGACTGGATCAAAACATGGCAATGATTTCTACAGCATTGGTGGGCCGGCTTGGTCCACCTTAGGATACCTCCAGCTTTCGGACTTCATCACCGGTTTGACGTCTCGATGGGTCGTCTGCGGGTGATGATGGTTTGGTTAATGATGAAACGATTTTACACATTTTGCGCGGTGTTCTCCAGCCACCCGACTTTGGGGATTAAGCTATTTTTGCCAGCCAGGCAACCCCAGCGTTGGAGTCGTTCTCCGATGGGGTCATCCTTGTCGGGCTTATCACCCTCGATATCATTTGGTCAGCACCGTGATTGCTAACCAGCGTTTGTTTACTCTAGGGCCTGCTAAATGGACCCTGAGAAAACCCTCTAACCCGGGAATGGATGACTCCTTGGCACTGACGTCGTCGTTCGTCCTATCGCAACGGAGGTCAGTGTTATCACCATGTCTTATCTGCAAGAGGAGTTTTGTCAATGATCGGTGAGGGCCTCCGGGCGAAGGGTCTTGGCCCCCACTTGGGGTATCCCGAGGTGAAGAGGGAAAGACTTCGTATCCTCCAACTTCGTAATTCATCCGACAAATATTCGTGGAGACCTGGTGGTCAGCATCCATCGGGCGTGTTTGTTATAAGTCCGCGCGGTTCATGAGGCAGAAGCTGACGCAATAACAGGCAAGGTACTTTTTTGTCCATGACGGAAGTACATAAAGTTTACCGTGCCGTTGGACAGGCACGTTGACAGGTCCGGTCCGCGTGTGGGGGAACCGTCTGCTTGGGACGGCGAACGCCCGTTGGATCTTGCACCCCGCCGTGATGGACTGTGAATTGTTTCACACCGACACCTCTAATTCAAAATCTTGCAATGTCACCTGTTGGCCATAAAGACGTCGTCTTCACAGTTGTTGTCTCTCGGTGTCATCTCGTTCGGCATTTACTCGTCGGCAGATTACCGCTCGTCCAATCTGCCGGCCCCCCGGTAAACAGCCCCCCGGCCCATTCCCGACATCGGCCGGAAACCTCAAGGCTGCGATAACACTTCCTCCCCCGTCTCAAAAGTTCCCCTTTCCATTGAATGACCAAGAGAAACATTCTTCACCGAAATAAAAACGGGTCCGGCCTCTGCTTAGTCGGCAGACCCCCGCTTGACTACCGGGAGGCATCAAAGCTAGCGATGCAACTGAGGAGTCCCCGCGATAAGCCAACCCCCGGCGGCCGCCCCATGCAGAGAGAGATGATTGCATATTGCTTATGGCAGAGGTCCTGATTCTAAGGAATAAGCAGCGCACTTATCAGCCAAGGCAACGGTTCGGATCTCTTCCCCTTGGAGCAGTGCTCCAGCGAGGTTATAAAGATGCCGCCGTCGTTGCATTCCAGGCAGTCCGGCTCGCCTCACCAGCCGTGATCTTCTCACCCCTCTCGACAGTCAATGATGAAGGCATTTGCTTTCCTCACGCTGGCCGGTGCCGCCGTCGCCGACCTCGTGACGACCGGCGCCTCGCTCAAGCTCGACGATGTGTACTACTTCGTCTCCCCCTTCTCCCAGGGCAAACCCTCCAACGCCTCGCTGGACCTCAAGACCCTGCCCCGCGCCTTCGGCTTCGCCCCCATCACCGTCGTCGCCGAGGCCGTGTCCACGCACGATCTGACAAGCCTCTTCAGCAACTGGACAGCCCAAGATGACGTCTGGCAGCCCGCCTTCCTCAACGCCATCTTCCTCGCGGGAGCCGGTCCCAAGTCTACATACGCTCGCGGCAACACCACCTCCGCCATCCTCCCGCTGTCCAAGCTCGCCTCGATCCCGTCCGGCCCGTACTTCCTCGACACCACCACCGGGGAGGTCCACCAGGCCTTCCGTCTGTACCCCGACTTCGCCGGCGCCTTCTCCGAGTCCCTTCTCCAAACGCCCGAGGGCACCTTCCAGACCCTCTCCGCGCAGGTCCCCGCCTCCGCGTCGCTGACCGTCGGCGTCCCCTCGCGGCTGTACTTCACCCCCACACCCGAGAAACCCCTCGCCGGCGTCCGCGTCGGCGTCAAGGACATCTACTCCCTCGCCGGCGTCAAGGGCTCCAACGGCAACCGCGCGTGGTACGGCCTCTACCCGCCCGCCGCCAAGACCGGCACCGCCATCCAGAACCTCATCGACGCCGGCGCCCTCGTCGTCGGCTTCCAGAAGCCCAGCCAGTTCGCCAACGGCGAGACCGCCACCGCCGACTGGGTCGACTACCACGCGCCCTTCAACCCACGCGGCGACGGCTACAACGACCCCTCGTCGAGCTCTTCGGGCGCCGGCGCAAGCGTGGCCAGCTACGAGTGGCTGGACATCGCGGTCGGCAGCGACACCGGCGGCTCGATCCGCGGGCCGTCGGGCGTGCAGGGCTTGTTCGGCAACCGGCCGTCGCACGATCTCGTGAGCCTGGACGAGGTGATGCCGCTCTCGCCGACGCTGGACACGCCCGGTTTCCTGACGCGGGACCCGCGCATCTGGGACGCGGCGCAGAAGGCGCTTTACAGGGAGAACTACACGTCCTTCTTGGGCGCGGAGGTGGTGTACCCCAAGACGGTGTATACCCTCGGCTTCCCCACGGACGAGACTCCTGCCGGCCAGATGCTCAACAAGTTCGCGGCGAGCCTGGCGGCGTTCCTGGACACGAACGTGACCGAATTCAACCTGACGGAGGCGTGGGCTTCGACGGGGCCGGAGAGCGTTAAGGAGTTGAGTCTGACGGAGGTGTTGGGGGCGACGTATGCCACGCTCATCACCAAGGAGCAGACTGCCCTTGTCAGGGACCCGTTTTATGCAGACTATGCTGGTGAGTTACGGCTGTATTCCAGAGTTGATTTTAGGCACTAATACAGCGCAGCCGCCCACGACGGCCGCCGCCCCTTCGTCAACCCCGTCCCCCTCGCCCGCTGGGCCTGGGGCGACACCCAGCCCGCCTCCGCGCTCGACGACGCCAAGGCGAACAAGACGCTCTTCATGGACTGGTTCAACACGGCGGTCCTCGCCCCCGCCGACGAGGCTTCATCGTGCTCCTCCGGGTTCCTGCTCTACGTCGGCAGCGCTGGCACCGCGAGCCCGCGCAATGCGTACCTCGAGGCGCCGAGCACGCCGCCGCTGGGTTTTAGCAACGGTCGGCTGTCGGTGTTCAGCGGCGCGCCGGACCATGTGTTTCCGGTGGGTCAGGTGGGCAGTGCGAGCGCGGTCACGAACCACACGGAGATGCTGCCGGTGACAGTGGACGTTATGGCGGCGAGGGGGTGTGATGGGTTGATTGCGAGGCTGGCGCTGGATTTGGTCGAGGAGGGGTTGGTGGTGGTGCCGCAGGTCGGGGCGGGGTTGGATGGCGGGGAGATTTTGATGAGGAGGGATGTGGAGGAGTGGGTTTAGAGGAGTTAATGATAATGTATTGATGTAATTTCGAATATGAAGATTCTTTTAGAGAGGTTTGGTTGTTATCGTTGTCGTCTCTCTCGTGGTCAGCTCAGCTGTAAATGTTGCCCTTGTCGGAGATATTCTGAAGGATTCACACTCTTTCTAGTTACATGCATACTTGCATTGGAATATCAAAATGTATGTACCCCTTTGAATCTTAGATCAGGCTATCGTAAAGGAGTCCGTACCCAATTGAGAACATAAATCCTGAGAGTGGGGATACCTCCATACTGCCTGTGTAAAACAAGACTTCGAGTGCGTCTATGAAAACATGATTTCTCCGCCATGTGAAGGCAATCCGATGCCTTGCAGATGTCCTTCCTCCTTTGTACAGGCTTTCCGCCCTTTGATCAGCCCACGATCAGCCTATCGATTCGCAATTGGGAACCCAATCCGCAACTGCGAGTTGCCTCGAGTTGCCTTGATTCTTGGGCCAATGAGCGCACTGCGGGGGTTGCAACACGCAGCTGCGCAGAGCATCAATACCATCAATCATTGGCCAGGCGATGGAGGTGGCGGTTTCATTCAAGAATTAGCTGATCGGATTGCCAAATCAGTATCGATGTTAAAAGACATTGTTCGCTCTCTTAACAGAGCCATTGTGTGCCGCCGCCCTTTCCAACAATTCAACGATCATTTTGTTTGAGCATCACAACGACAGAGCTAGCAGGCCATGGAGCCTGAGATAGCGGGCGAGATGGTGCCAGACCCGGCGCACACCGTCGCCGGGATGGATATCGAGACATCCGAATATCTGCCTCCAATTGACTACGGCATTGGGACCTACATGTCATACAGCATGCTATCGTCAACGACGTCGCAGCCTCGGATGCCGAAGGACGATCAGCCAGACACCTTCACTCTAGATTGGTCTCAAGATATGTCACTACATGGCCTACTGGATATCAATGTGGAACCTTTCTCATTCTTATCCTTCTACGATGAATTCGATTGGACACTTCCCGAGTTGCGCAAAGATGGATATGCTTGCGAGGCCAGAACTCATACCACCAGCCATTTTGGTGCCAGACAGGAGAAGGTATTTCCCTCTAAGGCGATGAATGACTGAAGATGCCTCAGACTAACACGTTTGGATCTCAGGATGCCTCCATCGGGGCCGAAACATTTCGCGAGCCCAATGATTGGGCATACAGGACTGGAATCGACCCGCTACAGGCCCTGCATGGGGTTCCGGTAGCCATGGACTCTCTCCACGACAAGGACAACTCCCACGTTCAACACGGCTATCTGACGCCAGAAAACATCCTCATGTACTACCAAGATGAAAACCATCATTCACTATGCTTCATGGGTCCCGAACTCGATTTGTCAATACTTCCCTGCGGGCCGCGATGGCACGCCAGAGGAACGCAAATGGACGAAACCGTACGCTGTCGTTCGCCAGAACCAGACGTACGAGAAGAACGAAACGCGTATCCGCCGAGGTTCAGCTGGCTGCTTGGCTGTCATCTGCTGGGAAACCTTGTGTTGCTCGCATCATCCACCGCAATCGCGTATGTGAAGCCAGGCGTATTAGCATATTACGGGACCTGGTTGAACTACGAGACACCGACCACACACCGATAGTATTCTCAAACCAATGACACTGAAAGTAAGCTTCAAGTCTTTTCTGTACGAAATCTCACGTCTCGAGGCTGATAATCATCGAAGTTCCATAGCGATAATCTCTCCACACTGGCTCAACTTTTTCACGGATTTCTTTCGGCGTTTTGGTTTTTGTGCAGCACCGCCTGCTTACACTGTCACCAAGCAGTCTATTGGACCTTGGAAAGTGGTGTCTTTTCTTTTTTTATCCAGGGCTCAATTCCAGGCCAGCATGCTCGACGAACAAACTTCGGTGAACATATCCTGCTTCAAGGATGAGGATTGGGACGAATACGGAGTCAATGATGCTCTACAACACAACTTACTTGCCGATGGCACTGATGAACTTCATAGCATGGCAGTTTCTTCCGATTGGCAGTCGAAGTTGCCGTCTCAGCCAAGCTGGGACACAGATAACCCTTCGATAGAAGGCCCGTCATCCTCCAGTAGTCCATCTCGGACCTTATCGAACTCAGAACCCGCCCACATCCAGCCAACAGTCAACACGTGGATCACTACAGTTGACAACAACTACTACAGCCTACCTTTCGACTTTTCAGAACAATCATATGAGCTTTCGACTTCGTCTTCAGCACTAAAACGAAGTCTGCAATCACCACAACCGAGACCCGCCGCAAATATCAAACGCAACAAAAGGATCACAGATTCATCCACATCACACGTATCAATCACTATTCCACCTGACCATTCTGGGTCTGAAGACATGAGGAATTCATCACTTTTCCCTTGTCCCTTTTATCATCATGACCCTGCAAAGTATAGTACCCAGCAGTGGCGCTCGTGCATGGGACCTGGTTGGACTATACACAGACTGAAGTAAGGCAGCTGCCAACTGGAGGCGGTTTGTTCCTGATAGATATATAGCAGCTAGCTAATCAAGTGACAGAGAACACATATATCGTCGGCACTGTTTGCCGGAGCATGCTTGCCAACGATGTCTAGCAGAATTTAACTCACAATCTGAGTTGGCAGACCACGAGAGGTACCCCCGCTGCCCCGTACTGTCCGACTCAGCTAGCGGCAAGATTGGCAAGTCGAAGAAAGACCGAATTCGCACACGACGTGCGAAGATGCCGGATTACGAGAAGTGGGTGGTCATATATCGAATCTTATTCGACAGCGACCCCGTAAGGGCTTCTCCGTCAAGTATGCATACCATTCATCTAGGCTCGCATATTACTGTGCTCATTTTTAACCAACAATACTAACCATGGATCACAGATACTCAGAGCAGCGAGTCCTCACAGCCAACAGAGAGCCCGGAGACATTAACGAGTTTCGAGCACTACCTGCGGACCAGGAAGTGTCTTGATGGTAGCGAGAGTGTGAGCGAGCAAGTTCAAACCTGCCTGAATCTAATTCGAGAATGGCGCGAAGAGCAAAACGCACCCCGCTCAAGACAAGCTTCTCGAGATCTCTCCACCGTACCCCATGGCGGTTTCGCACTCCTTGACGCTTCGCAGGTGTCCCAAAACGAAGCAGCATCGTGGCCTGGTGTCGGTAACGAAGGGGGAAGTTTAGATTGGTATTTGATGGATGAGCTATACAACAATGATATTTCGGATCAGTGGTTGTTGGATTCATTTTCTTACGAGCCTCCAGGAGATGTTTCATGGGATTTTATTTAGAAGTGCTTCAAGGATATTTCTTAGATTTTAAATTTGATATTTTGAATGTTTTTAAACCTTTGAAGTATGATATGTTAGTTCAAACTTGACTAGTAGAGCTTATTCGACCCCCCATGTCGTATCTCAAGCTTTGGAAGCCTGTGTCTTCTACACAAACGTCACTTGATTTCGAATTGACCCATTATTGTTCAGATATTCTCGCCTCTGCTGATGACCTAGCTGATGTTGTCGTATAGCTGTGGGCATCTGTATTCGTTAGTACATAAGCTTGCTCCTCGCTTCCAACACTGAGTCGGCTTCAACGGCCGCCAGCAGCGGAGCCGCCATCATTGGCAACATCTGTTTGCAGAGAGCTGTCCCATGCCTTCGGCTTACCATCCGTGGAAGGTAGAAAATCTAATCGCTGAACTCGAACTTAACTTTCCTCTTATTCCTCCTACTATCAGGTAGGTACAATCAGAAACTCCAGGAATGGCAGTGGGGCCCCTTAACCGGACCGTAACGTAAACTTGAGCTTGCCCACATGAACCAACAGCTCGCTGCAGCCGAAGCGGGCGAATGAGATTGATCCATCAGTCGCCTACCAACAAAGAACCCAGAAGATGAACATGTTTGTCCTGCACTTCCATTCCTGCGTGCATGAGTGGCGTGTTATCACACAGACTTTCACGGACTAGGAAGGAGGGATTCAACATAAAACCCCGCCTTCATCCAACCACACCTGACGATGTTTCTCCTCGTCCTCCCATGGTGAAACTGTTTTTTCCTGCGACCACCTAGTTGGCACAACTCTCGATCGATTCTCACGCTGCAATATTTGTCGTTGCAAATCATGGGTGACTCTCCGAAAAGGGAATCTAGCCCACCACGTCCTGAAGCCGAGTCCACTTCAGGTGCGGCGGATTCGGCTTCTCCTCTTGGTCGTGTCGCGGAGCAATCCACTTCCGGCCCGGCTACATCGCCTCAAGCATCTTCCCCTCATGCCGCCGAAGATGTTCCCCATGCATCTGAAGCTGATGATGTTGCTCTCGAGGCGGACGCAGGGAATACGGTCAGATTGCTACGCTCTAAATTCTCGGCGAGAACCATGCTGACCTGAAGGCCAGCCCGACGATCCTGCGGAGATGGATGAGCGCATGTACGATTTCTCCCCATTCTTGCCTGGATCAATCTTGATGTTTTACGCAGCTCCAACTACACTGCTTCGCTGGCCTCAAGTGTCGTCGATTACCCCATCGAATATGGACGCCGCTACCACGCATTCCGGCCTGGAGGTGAGTGGTCCCCTGCGTCAACATATTGCCAAAAAACACTCTCAGTTCACTAACATCATCAGTCTACGCGTTCCCGAATGACGAGGTTTGTCTCTTATCGAGAACTCTGGCTGCCCCTGGCCTTGATTGCTAACCACCACACAGGCTGAAATGGACCGTCTCGACATGTCTCATGCGGTGAAAGTAAGATCAATCGGCAACAAGCTCTTTCTTGCGCCTCTCGAGAAGGAGAAAGTTCACAAAATTCTTGACATTGGAACGGGAACTGGGATTTGTACACACAGAGAGCAGCTCAGATTGAGACACTTACATGCTGACTCTTACGTCTAGGGTCAATTGAGATGGGCGATGTCTTTGAGAACGCAGAGATTATCGGGATTGATCTGAGCCCCATCCAACCGAAATGGTAGGTTCTGCTCCGCTACCTCTGTGTTTTGTGGTTGATGGCGGCTAATATCTGAGACAGGGTTCCTCCGAATGTGAAGTTCGAGGTCGACGATGTCGAGAGTCCCTGGGTTGTGAGTCGCAAGTACGACTACATCATGTGCAGACACATGGTCGCTTCAATCCTGGACTGGCCGAAGCTTGTCCGTAATATCTACGAGTAAGTAACCTGCCTTCAACTACCCAGCCTCCAGGCAAATTCCCAGAGACCTGCATACAAGGCCAGCCCTGACACATCAATGTCCAGCAACTTGGAACCAGGCGGTTGGGCTGAATTCCAAGAATTGTCCGTGAAGTATCACACCCAAGACGGCACATTCACCGAGGACCACGCAACATACAAGTGGAACAGGACCCTGATCGAAGCCTGTAAGATGATTGGCCGTGACGCCTGCCCAGGACCGAAAGTCGAGGGCTGGGTGCGAGATCAAGGATTCCGCAACGTACACCACCAAAAGTTTATGCTCCCGGTTGGCCCCTGGCCGAAGGATCCGCACTATAGAGACATTGGCATGCTCAATCTGGCCCAGACGCTGGAAGGCCTGGAAGGCTTCTCCTTGAAGCTCTTCTGCGGTGTCCTTGGACGAACGAAAGAGGAGGTGTTTGTTGAGCTTTCGCAGGTGCGAAAAGAGCTGAAGACGGGCGCGTTCCATGCCATGTTTGACTTGTAGGTGATGACGAGCCGAGCTCTGGGCATGATGCTGACCTTTTACATAGGCACGTTGTCTACGGACAGAAGCCCTTCGAGACGGAGGCAGAGGAATGAGCTGTACTGGTGGCCTGGATGATGTAGCTTCAGACGACCTATCTGTCGAGGCATATTCAGCAACAGTAGTCGTCGTATGTTCCTTAATACAGCAACATGTTAACTCTACCGCGGAATCCAGTGAATGTGATGGGGCTTGGTGCGCAGTGAGCTCCTGGCATTGCCCTATCAGCGCCTCTAATCAGCCCAGTATTACTTGAAGGGCCCCCTGAGAATGATGTCTGAGGCCATCTGTAGATCCTTCGAATCATCAAATAACCCAAACCAACTTAGAAAGTCATCAGGCATTATCAACATGCTCAAGAAGCTCCCTAGATAAGCTGTCGTTCAGTTGCAGTAGCAATTCTGTAGGATGGCGGAGAAGAAGAGTGATTTGCCATATCATGGTCCTCCGGCCGTTCCGCGGTTATTGCAACATCGTCCGGATACTCATGGTAATATCCGGAGCCATCCAGAGCTCTTCGCCGGTATAACGGAGTGCTCCGTTGTCGTCGGACCAAACAACACGGAGGACGTACTCCCAGGCGGTCCCGTCTCCGTGTCATCTGAACCTTCAGCGACACGCCGACCCAATCAGTAATTTAAGAAACCACCACCATTACCATGCAATCTCCAGGAGAAAAGGAAACCACAAGTCAAGACAGACGAACGGCCTCCGGTGATTCCATCTCCTCCGCATCAAACCGCCTCGGCTCCCCCGCACGCCAGCATCATCCCATCTTCTCCCCCAGGTTTAGACTCCAATCTCCCCGCTTCCCACGCAAGTTGGAAGTCTCCAAAACGCAATTCGTTGGAGAAAGGAGGGAAGGTGCCCACATCATACCTCGGCTCCCGCAAGTCTTGATATCCTTGTACGCATCGATAAGTGCTGCAATAAGTCCAACCGTCCCTCCCGCGTCTTCAAGATCATCATCACCGGTCTTCTCCAGGAGTGCTTCATCATCTTTGTAGAGGTACTCGGTCTTCTCCAGCAGTAGCAGACTCGAAAGACGGATCCTTGGAGCCTCGGTTGGCTCATATATCCAACGCCGCCCATCCCGTCCATCCCGTCCGGCTTCGTTGACTGACTTGGTATAAGTCCTCAAGTGATTCTCGGTTTCACGACTTAGCCTGGGATTCATCAACACAGAACTCTCTCTCATCAAACCTCACGATACCGAAGCTTCAATCATAATGGCAACCGCCAACACACCTCAACCCAGCTACCAACACCTCATCAACCACGTCGAAGAGCACGGCTACGTAATCATCCCCAACGCCTTCACCGAGGCCGAAATCGAGGAGGCCACCAGTGAACTCGCCCGCCTCGCAGCCGACGCCGCCTCCGCCGGACCCGCAGGCGGCGATCGTGCCGGCCGCAACGACTTCGAGGGCCTCAACACCAAACGCATCTACGCCCTCCTCAACAAGTCCCCCGTCTTCCAAAAGTTCCCCCTCCACCCGGCTCTGCTCGCCCTCAACGACCACTTCCTCGACCCGGGCTTCCTCCTCAACTCCTTCCACAGCGTCTACATCCAGCCTGGCGAGGCGCCGCAGATGCTCCACCACGACGATGGGTTCGTGACTGTCCCGCGGCCGCATCGTCCGTTTGGCACCGTAAGTGACTTCTCTCTCAAGAATGACGGTTGTTTCTGACTTGTCAACAGGGCGTCATGGTCGCGATAGACGACTTCACCTCCACCAACGGCGCCACCGTCGTGATCCCGGGCTCCCACAAATGGGGCGACAAGGACGACGACCGCGCGCCCCGCCGCGAGGACGCCGTCCCCGTCGTCATGGCCCGCGGCAGCGCCGTCTTCTTCGTCGGCACGCTCTGGCACGGCGGCGGGCAGAACACCTCTGACCGTGAGCGTAGGAGCATGACCGTGCAGTACTGCCAGCCCTGGATCCGCCCGCTCGAGAACCAGATCCTGGCCGTCGACTGGGACAAGCTGGACAGCATGCCGCGGCGGCTGGTGGACATGCTCGGGTATGGGATCGGCTCGCCGTTTATCGGGTACGCGGACGGGATTCACCCGTGGAAGGTCGCGCAGAGGCGGATCAGGGAGCAGAAGGAGCTTCGGGCTGGGTTGCGGTAGGGGAGGTTGTGAGATGCGACGATTTGGGTTATATGGTTCTTAGACTGATGTGGGGTTTGGGTTGTTACCTGCTAGCACATTTTTAGTGCCCGACTTTAGACAGCGATATTCCTCGATCTTGATGAAAATATTCCGATTGGGGAATGAGCCAGGCAGCTTGCTTTGTTGGACAAAAATGGACAACGGTCCATTGATGCGAACGCTGTAGCAGGTAGTCCTTATACCACTTCTGGCAGATGCGTCAAAAGGTTGGTACTCGGGTTAGCTGACGTGTGGCGCTGTGTTTGCTCTACGCTCCGCCAGTGATGAGCTTGAAGATTCTGCGGTCCGGGGTGAGAATTTTTCATCGGGCTCCGTAACCTTTTCCCTGGGAATTTTGCGCAGCCTCGACTCTACCGCAGCAACGTCCAGTACACGAGGCATCATTCGAGCAGCCGGCCAATATTCCAAGAGTCGCTGTCCTTTGCAGCAGTAGTTCCTCTTCGTGCCGCCGCACAGAGGCGGCGAGCAAAATGAAAAACAGGAGCGGGTGCATGAAGCACCCGTGGCGCCTTGGAAAGCTGCCTGTGCCAGAAGAGGCTTTTCTGTCTGTTCATCTGGGATACGTTAGCAATGAGCTACAGCCGGAAGTCTCGTCAAAAACGAAAATATCAGGTCCCGAAGTCAGACATCCAAGGAAGGATTGCCGCTCATCGTCCATCTCAAAGGCTCGAGTGATGGCTTGCGTGGAAACTGCGAATAGTGTGGAAAATTTCATCATTCAGGGAAGGGGAAGCAAAAAAGTGAATATTATTGACTTACCATACAGATGTTGATGTGGTTGGGAGAAGGAAGACCAGTAAAGGATCGCGAAAATTGAGGCTTCAAGTACTTCCCACGCGCCGTGCACGAGCCACCTCGAAGAAAAAAATCGACGACGCACGAGCCATCGGATGGAGCTTGAGATCCGCATAATGGAATGTCCGAGAACCGAGACTGGGGCCCGGGTGCATCCCACTCTGCTGTCATTTCCCAATACAGCTTAGTCTCCATGGACGTATGGTTGACGAGGAAATCTTCACATTTTGCCCTCGACGCCCATGGACGAAGACACAGGAACAAGCTGGACAAAAAAAAAGTCACAGTCTACGCAATGTGACGATCGAGCCTGTCTGAAAATCATCTGAGAACCTCCTGACATCGTTCATTTTGCCACGGTCTACTCTCATGGAATGAGAGATTATGGCGAAAGCAACATCTCCAGCGTCACGGATTTCACGTCATTTTCATGAGACGTCAGCATCATTAATATACTCTTAAATATGTACACGAAGATAATCGACTGGAGGCGCCGCACAATCACTCCAGACCGACGCTAATCGCCGCCAACGCCCAGTCCATGAAGCCCGCGTTCGTGTCCAGGATGTTCGTGTTGAACTCAGCCGTGGTCGGGTAGAAGTTACCAGAGGGGCCGAATTCCAAGGTGTATCCGTAGACCTTGTTGACGCCGGGCTTGGCCCAGAAGCGGGAGAAAGAATAGTCGTCACTGGCGCCCGACGTAGGGTACAGGCCGACGGCCTGGATGGACGTGTAGGCGCGGCCACCGACCGCCTTCATGGCGTTGACCATGGCAGTACCAACAGTTCTAATGTTGCTGAGATCCGTAGCCGGAATATACTCCTTGTACGCCGAGTCGCCAACGGGGCCGCGCTTGCCGTCGTAGGCAGAGTTGAGGAAGTTCATGGTGGAAGTGGTCGTTTGGTCGTCATCGTCACCCCAGCTGTAGAGAAGGTCACCGACGGCGGAGTGGATGTCCATGAACCATCTGATCTTGGGGAAAGAATCGTACACAGAGACAAGGTTCTTGGTCTCGGGCTCCGACTCGGCAGCAGTGCCATAGAAGACCTCCGAGCTGGGCGAGGTGGAAGCGGGCGCCTCGGAAGAGTCGAAGTACTTCTTGAAGTTCCACAGGAAGTCGAAGTTGCGGTTGATATCGACACCGATGGAGCTGCCGCTGGAGCCGGACTTTGTGTTGCGGTTCTTGCGCCAGAGGGAGCCGGAGGACTGGTCGTAGGCGACGCCGTCCGCGTTGACCAGAGGGAAGAAGACGATGCCGGCGGCAAGGACGCTCTTGACCTGCGCGTTGGTGTATGTCTTCTTGCCGTAGGTGAGGCCGGTTCCGGCCTTGTTGGCAGCGAGCAAGTCGGAGACCCAGTAGATGATGTTGTCGGGGCCGCCACGCTCACGAGCGTGCACCGCGGCGCTGAAGTACAGGTGGTACTTGGACTTGTCGGTGCCGGCTCCAACGAAGTAGGCGTATTCGGTGGCGCCGTTGAACGTCTTGTAGGGCAGGGTGACGGAGCCGATGCCGTAGTTCTTGACGAGAGCGTCGCAGGCCGACTTGATCTCGGCGACGTTCATGATGCTGGAGATGGTCGTGCCGGAAGCCTGCGTGCCGAGACCGACGGGGGAGATGGTTCCCGCACTGAAGCGATCGCCGGTTCCGATGGGCGCGTTGGCCCTCTTGTCGAGTGATCTCCTGTGGAGGGAGACCTCTGGCACCATCTCGTACTCCTTGGACAGATGCTCAATCTGCTCCTCGGTGAGCCAAGCATGAAGCTTGTAGTGGCTGCCATCTTCGCTGGGCTTGGCGACAGCTCTGCAACCAAAGTCGTACGTGTCGTTGCGGACGATGTCCCTGCGAATGGTCAGTTGATGTTCACCGTATGTGCTTTGCTTGGCGAGGTGTTACCTGAAGGAATCAGGCGTCGGTCCCTGCAAGTAGACGGGCAGGAGCTCTCCGAGCACGACAGTGCTCTGGAGGATCAGAGACGCAATGAGAGAGTACTTCATGATGGTCAAACCGAAGGATGCGAAGATGCAGGAAGGAACGGCCCGTCGCCAAGAGGATGGATGCAAAGAGTGAACGAGGGGCACGACCTGCTTTCATAGGTACGAGTTGTCGTCCTTTCCAGCCCGGCCAAGTCGAACGACAGAAAGCTTGAGTGGACATGGCTGTCCGCCGAAGCCTGCGGTCACGGCAAGAACAGCTCGTTCAAGCAGCTGCCCAGCCCCTGCCCGGCCAACTACCAGTCATTATCGCGACCTGCTTGAATATCCCTGATCCCACCTGCCCGGAACGGCCTAGCGCATCTCTGATCTGGGTAGGTGGGCGAATCATTCATATAAATTCATCAGGCGCCTTGTACGCAAATGCACCAATTGCCGCGTCAAAGGTCCCTGGCACGACGTCTGGTACCACCTTCCCCCCGATATCTCGACGCGATCGCCGAGCACCTACTTTTTACGTTGTCGCTCCCGATGTGGGGTGACGACTACCGCGCAGCCCGGAGTTTAGCCCCGTGATCCTTTGCAACGAACTTGAGCCTTTCTGGAATAAGCTTATTCTGCACATCAAGTCGCCCGCGGATCATCGCTGCTACAGCCCAAAGATTGAGAATCCGGATTCCAGCAAGCTTCTACTTGCGATGCCAAGATTGAAATCTCTCCACCGTTCTCGGTGACGAAACAGAGCGCTGCGTTCTGCTTATGTAATCAGGTAGAAAGTTAATGAAATTGCAGTCTCGCAGCGCAAATCCTTAACAGCACTGCTCGCTGCGTGCTGACCCCTGACTGCCGAGATGGTGGCATGCAAGATTCAGCACGTCAAACTCAGCGCCGCTTCCAAATACAACACAACTCGAGGGACTGTTGCGAGCATCGCGGACAGCTTGAAGTTGCTCAAGGAAGAAGATACCAAGTCAAAGCTTACTCGAGTTGCGCGTATTCAATCGGAATGAGATCGTAAATATCTTCCTCCTGCCCAATGCTTGATCGGAGCCAGGACGACCTGCCACATCTGGGATGGTGATGTGCCATGTCACTGCGACAAACTCAAGCGAGCCATCGAAGACGATATCAAAAGACGCAATCGATTGGGTTGATATGTCACAGGCGGTTGTCTCGTCTAGTCACATGCCACTTTCGACAGTCAATCAATGCAAACGAGCAGGATAGGCCGCCATCAAAGACGAGTCGAAGCAGTGGGACCTTTTCGGTTTGTTGATCAACACAAGTATTCTCGGCATTGGCTGGGAGCATTACAGCCTTGAACTAACATGGTTGTGTGCTCTTCGTAGACCTGTCCCACTATGGTATATCACGCGCCCTGCGACGGTTATTTCAATAACCCATAATGGGTCTTCCCAACGGCCTCGACCATCGGCCACAGCATCTTTTCTTCGTCGAAGTCTTATATAGAGTCCGATCTCTCTTCTATGTATTGTGATCTCAAGCTCGCTCTTCAAGAAATCAACCGAAAAGTCCCAAAGATAACAAACACGGAGAAAGTGCTGGACTTGCAGGCGAAGCGGTAATCTCGTGCATAGCTTCACGAAGATATTGAGCTTCCTTACGACGGCATAATGTCTCAGAAGGCTCTCGAGAACCCATTTGCTCAACTTGCCCTTACGCTCGCTATATCGCCAAGCTGTTTGCCCGGCCAATCCTGGCCGTCTGGTGTATGCAGCTACACCAAGCCAGAAACCCGCCTGCGTTAACGACAGTTCGTCCAGGATGATATGTCACGTCTACAATACGACGTAGCCTCAACCACGGACTCTCCTTTTGAGCAAATGGTTGGCTTCATGCCCACTACAGAGACGGAGGTTCGATGTACCTTCCTTCGGCCTCGCTAGATGAGTTTGTACGCGGTCTACTACAGAGGCCAGTGAGTGGTGCATAGGGGTTGCTGGTATCATCACGGTAAGGAACGAATATTCTGGCGACGATGACAAGAACACTATCATTCTCCTCGATGGTTCCAGCGAACCTCAATTCACAGGCGCTGAGATTTCACAGCAATCTGCAGCAGTTTGGAGCAAAAGCAAGCTATCATAACCTACGGCATCGGATCTTTTGGTCTATCGTGCCCCCGTTTGACATTTGGGATTAGGCTCTGATGGTGGAAGGTCTCATCAGCTCTGGCTCCCAGTATGCCAATTGAGACAGTTGCCAGGAAACACACGAGTAGAAATGGTTCTGCGCGAGGTTTCGTTCTGCTTGACCGCGAGCTTGTATCGTCAAACAAACCCTTTCCCACTTTAGCAATACTGCGATTACTTCGTAGAAGCAAGTCCAGTTAAGGGCAATATAACCGACGAGAAACCAGACATCTGAGCTCAGGAACCGGTTGCATCATTGTCAAGGTCAAGGTCTCACAGCACTCCGCAACGCACAGGGTCGATGACCGCATCAAGCAAAATCCACACACAAAAGACGTGATCCCACATGTTTCCCCCCACTCGTCCCCAACAACCGTGCCATGAAGCCTTTTTCGGCGCCGACGTTACATGTGAAATATATGAAAAACGTCGGTTCGGTAAGAGGGTCGTAGCGGAGGCAACACGTCCTAGTCATGAGGCTCTTGGGCTGGAGTCGCGGAGCCTTCAGCGCGTTGTAGCTGTTGTGGGCAATGCCGCAATCGGTGGTTCATCGTGTTGACACCCGGGTGCGACGGTGTTGCGGCCACCGCATTGTGAAGGGAACCGAAATAACAGCGCCGGCGTCATTTGGCCAGGGGTTCATAGGGAGCCCGGTGGACTCAGTACCACCACAACACGCGAGGGACAGGTGGCAGAGGAAACAAACAGGCAGGGCGCGCTGGGGGGCACTGACTCGATGCCGCGTGGAAAGGCCTGTCAGAAAACGTCGCAACGTGGAAGGGGGAAAGAATCGCCTGCGGTTGTTTGGAAGCTTCGCGACCGCCCATCTGGAATGAACGCAAAGTCCGAGCGGTGATCCAGCGTTTTGGACGTGAGGAAAAACAACAGAAGCTCATCCAACACTAGAGCCGCCGGTTCGCATATCGAATCAAATATAAAAACGCAGAGTTCGACTTCGTTTACTAGAAATTCCCTGTAACACCTAGTCCCAGGCGCCGGTCTGCGCTAGATCACCCGGATCTCGGTTCATCCATTGCCACTTTCGTCGATGTGAATCACGAGTCTCCCGCGTGGCATCTCCACGTCGCGGTAGTTCTAGAACTTGGCGACGCTGGCGTGGACGGAAAGCAGAAGCCTGGAAGGGATCAACACTCAACAAGCCCAGAACGAAATCCTTCCGGAATTTTCGCGCGCGAAGGATTTCATGCTGTTGTCGCATTGTGCTCATTTCTCGCCGGCATCGGGTTAATAACCCAAAATCGCCATCGCTGCTGCGACGCCAGGGAGGCTCTTATTCGTTCAGTTGACGAGTCACCCTGGCGATGGAGGACTGCGAACCCACAGCGCTCCCGTAATATGCGGTCAGCGATGCTCTTGTGAAAAACTGGGACCAGGAGGGCTTTTTTTGGTTTTGTCTCTGTCCAAGAGCATCGGCAGCCAACGGTTCGATCAAGATTTTGTTTCATGGCAGCTCTGAGTCGAGTGGTCGGATCCATTCAATGACGATTCGCTCTCCTTCAACTTGGAGGATTCTAGTGTGTGAACAATTCTGTCTGTTGGTCTTCCAAAGACGGAAGACTTGGTCGTGGGTGCGGGGATTCGAAGAAACGCGGCAACGGCCCGGACGCCGGCTCTCGGACCTCTCTCAGAACACAACATATCCGGCACATGTGATTGGTTTACGGAGGCATTTCCCCCCGAGGGCTAGCAGCCATCTGAGGTTCATTCAATCTCCGTTCGGTTAGACGAACCACGGGAAGATTTGGGAGACGATGTCACGGCTCTTTTTTAGGATCTCGGCAGAGGTCGTCTTGGTTGGCGAACTGAGCGAAGCTGGTTGCGCTCGGGAAGAAGCTAAGACGGCACGACGACTTGGATGCCGACTGATGAGACGGCCGACGACGAGGTAGCGTGTGCAATCAAGTACTCGCAGGATCAGCCTTCGAACTGAGGCTTCATCCAATGATTTCTGCTGCATAAACTCTCCGTCAGCTCGTTGCTGATTCAGGTACGGAAACTTTCCAAGGATTTTACCACGGCTTGATGCCGGTCCCTGGGTGGGATGCAGCCCCTCCCTTCTCGTGGCCGGAAGGGGAAAATTGACGAAACCAAGATGCCATGCAATCAAACCGTTGAAGAAAACCGGCCCCCGACCCGTGGCTGGCGCCATGGAATGCGGGCCATGCTTCTCGAAATCTTGGACGGGCCTCCAATGCCGCGTGTGTGCTGTGACCTCTGGGTGGGTACGCTCGAGATGGCATCCTTGCACATGGCTGACGATCCCCTCAGCCCTCCGTTTGACTTGGGCCAGGGGCCGCCGCAGAACCAGTCCACAGAGTGCGTCGGGGCGTCTTCTTTCGGTTAGGGATCGACCTGTCAACCGATGTCCCCGTGTGCGGTGGATTTCGTAGATATGAAAGGGCCTACGAGGGGCCGCCAAGCCGTATTCCTCGCAGCGCTCCCGTGAGGTCTGTCGATGACTGGAGTACAAGTCTGGCCTTCATTGCCCTTCCCCAGATCCAGTACCACTCGTCTCCTGTTCCCCGTCTTAGATTGACTCGTGGAGGTGTAGGGATGGCCAGATGAACCACGGAGCTTTAACTGACGTCTGCGCCCTACCTGGATCCGGGATCGACTCTCTCGTCCTCTCTCTCCTCCTCTTTGTTGTCTCCCATTCGAGGTCGACATCAGAGGCACGATGATTGGACCAGGCGGCGATGCGCCCATGGCGCTGGGCGTCCTTTGGGGCTTGACTGCCATGGCATTGTGCTTCGTCATCCTGCGCCTGTGGACGCGGCTGGGTGTGCTCTCGGCGTACGGGATGGATGACCATTTCTTCAACTTTTCATTTGTGAGTGTTCGCAGTAGTGACATCGAACGAGCCATGCGCCTCTGACTCTTGTGTTGGTAGATCCTCTTCATCGCCTACGATGTCATGATCACGATCGCATCGTTCTACGGCTTCGGCAGGGATATTACCGAACTCGAGACATCCTACGACATTTCTCGAGCCATCTTATACGAAGCCATCGGGCAGACTATTCTCGTCTTCGGCACCGTCGTCTCCAAAACCTCACTTGCGTTGTTCCTACTCCGACTTGTAACCACCCGCCTACACCAGTTCATCATCCTCTTTCCGGTCATCATTCTCGGTATCTTCGTGGTCGTGTCACTATGCGTTTTCTGGTTCTCGTGCACGCCGGTAGAATTTCTGTGGGATCGACTTCTCCCCGGTGGCTCATGTCCCATCGACCCGGGCCCGATTTCCACGGCAGCCGGAATCTGGAGCGTGGTGGTCGATTTCTGGTATGCGGTTACGCCATGGGCTCTGCTTTGGAACCTGCAGATGCCCAAGAAGGAGAAGCTCCTCATCAACATGAGTATGAGTCTGGGCGTCATGTAAGTCAACCTCCTGGAGTTGGATTATGGACACCAGCTGACTGCTCTTAGTGCTGGAGGTTGTGGCATCCTGAGAGCCTTGGAGTTGAAGAATTTGAGCAGTGCGAACTTCACTAGTGAGTTATCCTGAGTCTGGAAGTTGGCTGTGACGAAAATGAGCGCCAGTCACTGATACGATTGATTTACAGAGGATACTGTTGGCCTCATAGTCTGGCACGCGGCTGAGCTTGCCACAACTTTGGTAAGATACTTTCAAGTAAGATTGAAGACATTCACTCACTGTCCTAGGTGTGCATCGGCATTCCAGTCTGCCGCCCCCTGTTCAAGGAGTGGCTCAACCTTTGGACATCCCGAAGCGGCAGCAAACGCACCGGTCCTTATACCAGAGACATGACTGGATCTTTCATGATGAGAACGATTGGAGGCACCGACTACACCGTCCGAATCGGTCTAAAGACGCCAGAGCTGGATTTGGGAGGCCGCATCGGCGAACGAGGCGGTTACGAAACGAGCGGCACCGAAAGATCAAACGGCAAAGACGAATATGGCGACAACAACAGCGTTGAATCGATTCTCGGTCCCGAGCTCAGGAGGGCCGCAACGCGCGAGACACGAGACGGACATAATCGAGGATGGTCGAACGCGTCAGGAAAGGGTGCCAATCATGATATCTGGGTTAAGTCGGAGGTTGTGGTGAAGTCCACGGCGAGAGATGAATGAAAACGACAGAAAACATAGTCAGGATACTTAATTTAAAACTTCATGATCCACGACTTCCGCAGGCTTTCACAACACAAGACTGCGCTTCGAGGTTCAGTTTCTGCGGCACAGGCGCCTGTTGGGAGAGAAAGGAAAATCTGCACGAATCCTGCCAAGCCGGACGCAAAGAAGTGGCACAGCATAGCCGATGCATCACGGCCCGGGGACTTGATGTCCGTACATTCAATTGGATCGCAACTCTGAGATCAAAGTATGACCAACATCCTTTCGGAAGTTGATCCGGCTCCGGAGAGGGTCGATGTTACAACCCAGACTCGCCGGTGCAGACACCCAATCTACTCTTGCATCAAAGACCCTGACTTCGTGCCTTTAACACCAATGTCCAGATATTTTCTCCAATGCCACAGCTACGCTCCGTTGGTTTCTTATGCAGCTACAGGAAATCTGTTCCAGGGTCCTCCTCTTGATCCTGTGCCACGATGGCCAGACCTAACGGATACCCCTGCAAATGCAGGCAAATCGCATCACATTTTAAGTGAGCTCCAAAGCATTGTGCCATAAAGAGCTAGGTTGTTCGTGTCTGCACCCATGACTTCTCTTCGTTATCTTCACGCGGGCCACTTTGCTCCTCGATTCGCTGAGAGACCGTTTCTGCAAACTCATCGCCATGTCGTTATGGGACTTCATCGTTGTTGGCGGTGGCCTTGCCGGCTCCGTCATTTCGAACCGTCTCCTTCACAAGGATCCTACTCTGCGGATTCTGTTGGTCGAGGCCGGCCCCAATGTCAATGGTCTCGAGGCCATCGCCTATCCCAACACCAGTACTGGGGCCGGAAGTGACCTCGATTGGGGTTATGCTTCCGTTCCGCAGGTCAATGTGGACAACCGGTCGATTGCCTCTCCGGCTGGAAAGGCTCTTGGCGGTGGAACAGCCATCAATGGAGGTAAGTCAAGCTCGTATAGCCGTCTTTCTCTCCAATCCCTCACGGCTTTGTCCTGACTTGAATCGTCAGCGGCCTGGGTTCGTGGCCATACAGTAGACTATGATCTCTGGGCCGAAGAAGTTGGCGACAACAGGTGGAGCTACGAGAATCAGCTTCCCTACATGAGGTTGACGGAGAAGTTCTTCAACGCCAGCATCAACCCTTCTCAGCACGGTTCCAACGGCTCCATGGTCATCCAGGGCGTTACTCCCATGAACCGTCAGTTCCCTATGCGCGAAAAGCTGGCTGAGTCCTACGAAGCCCTCGGTGTCTCTGCTTTGCCGCAACTTGATGCCAATGCGGGAAACCCCATCGGTTACGGTGACCTGCAAGAGAACCGAGCGGAGGGCCGCAGACAACTTTCATCAGAGGCCTTCCCTCTGGATGGGGTCACCGTTCTGACGAACACCATGGTTGAGCAAATTCTCGTCGAAAAGCGCCTGAATAGCAGCTCCGTTGTTGCAAAGGGCATCCGCCTGCAGAACGGGACAGAGTACTTCGGGCGCAAGACGATCCTCACTGCCGGTGCCTACCGCACTCCTCAGCTGTTGATGTTGTCCGGCGTCGGCCCCGCCGAGACGCTCAAGAAGCACGGCATCGAGGTGAAGCTTGACCAACCTGACGTTGGCCAGAACCTCCATGATCACATCCTGATGCCCACTGCCTGGAAGGTCAAGAACGTCTCCGAGGGCTGGGCTTATGAGTCGGAAAACCCCCTTTTCAAGGAGCCTCAGTACGGTCTGGGCAACAAGATTGATTTCCTCGCCACAACCACCCTGCCTAAGGAAGGTCTCGCCGCTGCCATCGCGGAAGACGAGGGCATCGAGCCAGGCCCAGATCATCCCCTGCTCCGCCAGGACCGGGCACATGTCTCTCACTCCCTGCAGTACAACGGCGCTTCGACAGACGGCTCCGCTATCCTCATGCTGTCCATTGTGCTCATCGATACTTCGCGGGGTTCCGTGGGCATCTCGTCAGCGAACATCAGCGACTACCCTGTGATCGACCCCAACTACCTCAGCACGGCGGTCGACAGATACGCGGTGCGCGAAGCTCTCAAGTTTGACACCAGGCTCCTCGGAAGCGATCTCACGCCAGTTGGCCGTGATATCCTCGATGGCGAGCTGGCAGCTGACGCGCCACTTACGGTGGACTCTTCTGACGAGGCGTTCGCTGCCCGAGCTCGACAAATGGCAGGGTACGTTATTCGCTCCCCTAGTCTTCGATGTGGGATTATGGAAACTGACTTTTGAGCAGCTCTTGCTTCCACCCGTGCGGGACTGCCGCTATGGGCAAAGTAGTCAACACTGACCTCAGTGTCAAGGACGTCGACAATCTCTTCGTTGCGGATTCATCCATCTTCCCGAGTTCTATTTCCGCCAACTTACAGGTTGCCATGTACGCTTTGGCGCTCCAGGCAGCTGATATCATCGGGGGTCACGAGAGCGAACGTTGATAGACGTGGGAGGGTTTCAAGGGCCATAGATAGCGGCGAGAGCCCGTACTTTAACCAATCGGTAGATGTTTTTCCACCATCATCTGGCTTCTCTGCTTGGTGGTGGCGGCGTCTGTATTGTTTTCGCCCTAAACGACGAAACCGTGGGCAATGCAGCTGTTATCGTATTTCAATTCGTACAATGCCTCGGTTCAAGACCTGTATGCGTCATTAGTCTGCACTGTCGTCGCTAACCCTGAGGGAACAATTTTGCAAGTGTTGTAAGCGTTGCTACCCTTCGGGTTTTACAAGTAAAATGAACCTCATAGTGACACGAAGCCAGCAGATGAATGACACCGCCAATCAACATACCTAGAATCAATGCCATAACCAGTAACACACAGGACAGAAGAGACTGCGACACCTATAGCACCGAGGCGTGACAACTGTCGGCTGCGGTTGAGGCCTTGTTACCGGGACCCCACTTTCTGCCCCACTTTCATGCATGCTTTATAGAGCACATTCTGCCCTGAATATCCATCACCCAGCATTGGCCTGCTGGCGAAATGGCATCGCGTCAGATTTCGGCTCTCTCCAAGTCATACTCTGAAGATTCTAGGTTCGATCCCTAGGTAGGTCGCGTTAACTTTTGTCTTTTCACCGACGCCCTCATGATATTTTCTTTCCTTTTTTTTTTTTTTTTTTTTTTTTTTTTTTTTTTTAAAAAAAANCTTTTTTTTTTTTTTTTTTTTTTCTTTTGTGCATTCATAAAGACAGATTGAATCGTTTGTCCATGAATCAATTTTTTGCGCTCCATGATAATGTATTTTCTACATTGCGCCGTTCATCAAGGCTTTCTTGGAAGCATGCTCAAATGATAGCTGCTAGCGCTGCATTCTGGACATTAATCAGAACGATCCCGTCCATGCAGCCCGCAGCCAACCGACACCACCCCCTCCCACCCGTCACCACCCGCCGGCCTTATCTCCTTCAAGCCTGCCCGCCAAAGACCCCTACACTCCACCACCTACCGAGATCGGGAGCACATCCGACGATACCCATTTTGCAGCACATCTCTCAACCACGCCTTTCGCAAACCCGTCATACACGCCTTTTCCCCAAAAACCTCACCGCCGTCCCCCCGTCCCTCAGCAGAGGCCGTACCACTGCGTCGGCACCGCTCCCGTCGACTGCGTTACCCCTCTCTTTACTTTACCCCTCACGACCTCTGCGCGGCCTTCAATTGCGAAGCGGGCGAGGTTCGCGATCCTCCTCTCTGAACCTCTTCCTTGGTGTTTTCTGGATAAACCACAGCCTCCAACATGTCCGCCTCTTTGCCCGGCAGCCGCGAGCTGCCCGCCTCCCAGTATGACCTCAGCACCTACTGGGGACGCGCACGACACAGCATGGGCCTGACCGACCCAAGGTACGAGATCTCTCTCTTGCAACCCACCCCGCCGCGGCGCGAGGGTACAAGCCGTCTCTCTTACAGGCCCAATGCTAACATGCCGCGATCTACAGCACCCTGCTCGTCGGCAGCACCGGTCTCGAGCAAGCCAAGTCCCTCCTCAGCGACTACAAGCAAGGAAAGATCCCGACGATGACGCCAGAGCTCTGGAAGGCCAAGAAGGTCGTCGACTCTACCCTCCACCCAGGTGCGACGAGCCCACGATCCCAATAACTCCCCCGCGCGCGGGCTCGTTGCGCTCCGGCTAACACAGGCACACCCCTAGACACCGGCGAACCGGTCCTCCTGCCCTTCCGCATGTCCGCGTTCGTCTTGACCAACTTGGTCGTCACGGCCGGCATGCTCCAGCCCGGACTCGGCGTGAGTCTCCCCCTTGCCCGCGCCGCCCGGCACTTACACCCCGAGGCCAATCTAACAACCCCGATAGACAGCAGGAACAATCGCATGGCAAGTCGTCAACCAGTCCCTCAACGTCGCAATCAACTCCGCAAACGCAAACAAATCCTCCCCCCTGACCTGGCGCAAGCTCGGCGAGTCCTACGCCATGGCCGTCTCCGTCTCCTGCGGTGTCGCCGTGGGTCTCAACAAGCTCGTCCCCCGCCTCCGCTCCCTCTCCCCGGCAACCCGCACGACCCTGACCCGTCTCGTTCCCTTCGCCGCCGTCGCCTCCGCCGGTGCCCTCAACGTCCTCCTCATGCGCGGCGAGGAGATCCGCAAGGGCATCGACGTCTTCCCCGTGGTCTCGGACGAGGAGCGCAAGAAGAAGGAGGCGGAGGGCGGCGACGGCGCCCAGGTCCAGTCCCTCGGCCGCAGCAAGAAGGCTGCCACCATCGCCGTCGGCGAGACGGCCGCCAGCCGCGTCTTCAACTCCACGCCCATCATGGTCATCCCGCCCCTCGTCCTCGTCCGTCTGCAGCAGACCCAGTGGCTGAAGCAGCGCCCCCGCATGACTGTGCCCATCAACCTCGGTCTCATCCTGGTGACGAGCTACGCCGTCCTCCCGCTTGCCCTCGCCGTCTTCCCCCAGAAGGAGAGCATCAGCGTCGACAAGCTCGAGCCCGAGTTCCACGGCCGCGGCGGGGAGAACGGCATGGTGTGGTTCAACAGGGGTATCTAGACTACTTGCTATGCATCCAGACGGTTGTCGTGAAATAACGCACAATGGCTCTGTGGGGGACCTGATCTTTCAACGTAAATCATGCTGAGCCGAGCGGAAAGTCTTGCCGAGCGTCTTTTTGAAGCTCTTCTAGAGGTCTTCACATTCGTCAATCAGGGGGATCTCCGTCCCCAGAACAAGCGCACCTGGGAATCCGGTGTCAGATCGGATGTGTTAAGCGTTTCACGCCCCAAGTTTCTCCTTGACACGGAAGCTCCGTCGATCTGGCATCCGACTTTGCCCCGTACGTGGGAGGGTGCCCATGGAGTGAGCTGTACAGAGATCATGCCCTGTGTGAACGGGGCGTCGTCTCCTAGATCATTCATCGTCGTCTAGATCGTCCAGCGGGCGAAAACGCCCTCGGCCACGCAAGGCCTGCTTACATACGCATGAGACTACGCTAGATAGAGGGCATCGTAATAGCAGACCCTGAGTCATCCCGTTCTTGAAGCTGCACACAAGCTGAGCGCAAGGCGATGTGAAGATGTGTAGGCTCTTGTAAACCACGTCGGCATAGGTCGATCTTTGAATGCGTGAGGCGGGGTAGGATGTGGCTTGGGAAGCGGCGCGCGCGAGGCTTAATAGTGACAGCTCGTGGATGGCGCAGCCAGGCGTCCTGCAGACATCTGGACAGCCTCCTGGATGTGGAAAGGCCGCATGTAAGATTTTGAGATCTTGCAGGAGAAGCACAGAAAGACATGTGTAAACCCGTTTCAGCTGCTGACGCTTGTCTGCCCCCCGGGAGGTCTTTTGTTCTTGCTGACGTCGTCGTGGGTTACGTCTTGGTTCAGACGGTTTCTCGGTCCCGTAATAAACACCTGGAAATGTGTCCGACGGGGTAATCAGATGCCGTGACGACAAGACAGACACACAGAGAGAGATCGTTTGGTACCACAATGGAATCATACGGGTGGGCAGCCGGTGCCACTAGCACACCACCACCTCAAGACTTGGGACGCTGCACTTGGCGTAAAGGGAATCGCCACCAGCCGAGCCGGCGAGGAGGGGTCAGCGGGGTTCAATAGGTGCATTTTGAAGGCTGGAGAAAGGGCGTTTGGCGGATAAGAAACCGATCGCACGTCCGCCCGCGACGGTACTTGACGAGGCGTGTCTTCCGTTCCTTCTAGTCTGTTCTCAGGACGGCCCGTGGATGGGCCCCCCGTTTGTGCCCCGACAAGAGACTATTTTGAGGTTACCTCGCTGCGCTTTCAGAACGCCGGCTGCGGTGAGCTGCCCTGACCTCAGGCGGGACGGTGCGTTGAATGCTTCGAAGGTGAGATGGAGAGCACATGAAATGCCACAAGGAGCTAGCCATGACCACTGCCCACGACCTCTAGCAGGAACTTGTGCTGTATCATTGGTTGCGACTTTGCATTTTACCTTTCCTCCCAACAGAGGTTTCTGTGATGCCCGTAGATCTGGACCTGGGCTGCTTTATTTGGCCACTGGTGACGGAAGTTCGGGTTCCCTTGGGGAATGTTACGGCTTGATGCTGCCGGTTGCAAGAAGTTGAGACCCTCATGTCTGGACTCTGGACATAATCCCGAAAGCTGAAGAATGGTACACCCGGGTAAGTTTTGGGCGGAGCACGCGAACGACAGGCTGTGACATAAGCACGGATCGAGCTGCAGAAACAGAAAAGGACACTGGATGGCCCGGCGGACTGACTCCCCTCAATAGACTGAAACTTCGCGGCCGTCAGTCGGGGTGGCATATGGTCACGATGAATCTCGACCTGTGAAGCAGGGGCGAGATAGCCAGGCTCGCCTTCGACACTCGCGAGACCGGGTCGGCTGCGATTGCTTGTCGTAGAGTGTGATGGTGCCGATGTTGAATAAGGAAGGCCGTTGTTTGGCAGCGCCAATGTTGACAGCAACGAATAATAGTCAAGCAACCCCAACTTATTCCAGCCTTTAATGAGGGGGAAATATAGGTAGGTTCTTCTAGGCTTCCCATCACCAATGTTTCGCAGCGAGGCACGGTATCTGGGCCTATGCCTGTCTGGTCTCGGTTGCCACGGATTCGATGTCCTGGAGTCATGCACGCACTTTACGCCACGTACCAGATGGGGACCTTTGCAGAGGCCGTGAGCAAACGTCGCCGCGGTTGCGGGTCACCCTCGGATGCCTCTCGATCTTGCGAGCACAAAGATGTTGACTCTTCAGCCAGTAGATTCACCATTGCGGGAACGGCCTAATGGTGGTTGACGGAAGAACCGATTGTATCGCCGTGCAGCTTTGGCGTGACGAGAGTTGTAACTTGTGGATGGTGGAGTAGCGGGCAGCAAATGCACGCAGGCATGTCGATGATTGAGAGGGAGGGGCTGGCTGGCTGATAACTGAGCCGGCCGGGGCGTGTCCGGTCCCCTGTCTTATGGGGCAGATGGCACAGTGAGAA